CCCACTGGGCCAACATAAATCAATTACAATTAAATTTAATAAACCCACCCCCCCCCCCCCCCCCCCCCAACTCCATCTCTCCTCATAAGCATCATCCAAAACAGACCAACTAACATTCTCCCCCCCTATCTAGATGGGTCTGGCCCCTCATCCTCATCCCCGCCATGTTCTTCGCCCCCGAATCCCCCTGGTGGCTCGTCCGCAGAGGCCGCCTGCAAGACGCCCGAGCCGTCGTCAAGCGCCTCACGTCCGACAAGAACGTCAACTTCGACATTGACAAGAACGTCGCCCTCATGGTCGTCACCACAGAGCACGAGCGCTCCATCAACGCCGAGACGACGTACCTCGCCTGCTTCCAGGGCACAAATCTTCGGCGAACGCTCATCGTCATTGGCATCTACTGTATTCAGACGCTCAACGGCAACCCGCTCCGCGGATACTCGACGTATTTCTATCAACAGGCCGGCCTGCCCACCACGCAAGCCTTTAACATGACAATCGCGGGCTTCGCAGTCGCCATTGTCGGCGGCCTCTTTTCCGTAAGAACTAACCCCCCCCTATTTCAAGATACTCACACCAAAACTCTACTAACCCAGACATCTTAAAAAAACAAACAGTGGGTTCTGCTCCCCCTCTTCGGCCGCCGCACAATCTACTTCTGGAGCCTCGTCCTCATGTTCATCATCATGATCCTCGTCGGCGCCCTCGGCTTCCCGCAATCCCGCTCCCCCACGCCCGCCTTCGCCTGGGCCATCGGCTCCCTCCTCATCGTCTCCTCGTTCCTCTACAACTGCTCCATCGGACCCCTGACCAACACCCTCTGCTCCGAGATCCCCTCGTCCCTCCTCCGCAGCAAGTCCGTCGTCCTCGCCCGCTGGACATATGCCGTCACCCACATCATCGCCGGTGTTCTCACTCCGTACCAGCTCAACCCTACCGCTTGGAACTGGGGTGCCAGGACGGGCTTGTTCTGGGCTGGCGGCTGCCTCATTTCCATTGTTTTCGCTTACTTTTGTGTTCCTGAGCCCAAGGATCGGACGACGGCCGAGTTGGACATCTTGTTTGAGAGAAAGGTCTCGCCCCGACACTTTTCCAAGACGCCGGTTGATTTGACTGAGGCTATTTACGGGGATGATGAGAAGAAGTTTTAAGTTGACTCAACAGAAACGTAAGGATAGAGTGATGGCAGAGCATGAGGGGACATGTATAAAACGCTGAATGAGTAGTTGAATGAAGCGATGATGATCCTTGAATTTCTCCTACACATGCACATACACACACAATGATGATAAATAATCAATGTATGTAGCTACTGTTCCTCCGCCCACCAACGCCTCCTACCTATGAAAAGTACCCAGCCAAACATCAAATAAATCTCGCATTCCAATATATCCCATCAGCCTTGCAACCCGATATTTAACAGTCATGAAATCCATCTCTGCTCAAGAACCCATCGCTCCACGCCACGCCCTCACAAAAACGGAGGCGGCACCCCAAAATACCATATACAGAAAAACTTGGTCGTAACCCTCCTCTCCTTTCTCAGCTGTGCCTCTGACAGCTCCCTGCCAAACGCAGCGAAAAAGTCGCTCCGGCAGATGGGATTCTTGATCCTCTCCAGCCGCTCCACAGCCCACTGATTCTCCTCTTGGTCCATGCTTTCAATGGCATATAGAAACAATGGACGGAGATAGCCCGTCTTCAAAATACCCCCCTCCTGAGCATTCCAATCCCCGTCAACGATTTCGCGTAGATGGTGCATCGCTTGTCTTGATTCTGCAGATTTGGAAATGGGATCTCCCAAGACGCGACCGATTTCGATAAACTCCGCATGGTACGCTGCATTGGCCATTCCAACCAGTGCAATGATGGGGTCGGCAATCTTTGGCGCAAGGTGAGCACGCAGGTCCTCGGGGGTTTGGCGCTGGGTGGCACAGCGATTATCCCAGAGGGTGTGCAGTCGAGCACCGACGTCTGCCATTTGTTCGACGACATCTTTTTGGTCCACGCCAGTGGTGCGTGAGCGGTGGTAATGGGTCATTTGAGCAATCTCACCAGATATCATCTGAAGCTGGAAGTAAAAGTCGAATATCGGGGTGGTGAGCATCTCATATATGTGTGTCGACGTGTCTGGGGGGTCGTTCAACGGCGCAGCAATGTTGGGCATGCTCTCGCCGCAACTGGAGAAAAGTTCATAAACATCATCCGAGACAAAGCCCGTACCTCCGCCGCGAATTGTCGTTGTATGAAGTAACCTCAGCCAAGCCACAATTCTGATCGTAAGCGGGCTTGATGGGAGTTGGTCTTGCGCCCACGCCCTTAGCCTGGTGAGAAACATCTCGCTTGGCTCTCTAAGAAGGGGAACCGTTTCGTAATACTGTACAATGTCGAATAGAGACAAAAGAAACGCTGCGATCAAGGCAAGGTCAAAATCTTGATTACCATCGGCCAAGAGCTCTTCGTATCTCGACCTGGCAGACTGATAGAGATACATAGCCTTGGACAGCGGCAAGCCATACATCTGCCCCTTGTAAAGCGTAGCAAGAGCCACAATCGCCTCGGCCACGGCCTCGTTGCTCATGCCAACTTGGGCAACTTGAACCTTCATGCGCCGCCAATTGACGGCATCAAAGGGAGCAATTGCGGGGCAGTCGACGCTCTCAACAAAGAATGACACCGACGACTGCAGGGGCACCTCGCGAATAGCCAAAACATCGATGGTGGTTGTGAGCTCTATATCACGGGATATCAATGTTGTTGGCGAAGCAGGCTCGAATCCGGCATTATCTGCGGTGCCGGAGATTGCGTCTTGCCGCAGCGCCTTCTCCAGGCGGGCAGTAATATCCACGATGGAGCTATCAGGCGATTGAAACGGGTTCGTTGCCGTATCATCAGCAATGTTGAGCTCGCCATCAAGCGGGGTCCCCTGGTAAAAGCCAATTTCTCTTCCTTCGGACAACGGACTCGGATACTGCTGCGAGGCCAGTTCCACCTCTGTAGTCTGTCCCAACCCCGGCGTAGTAGCAGCAACATCGGCAGATCGGTCCGGCGTGAGCTGCTCCGGGGTCTGAGGTGCCGCACCACTGGCCTGCTGATTCTTCCTCGGCTTATAGACGCAGCGCCGCTTCAGCCTCGTGCAGTTGTGACAAACGGGCCGGAGCTCGTCACATTTGACCTTTCTCGACCGGCAGGTGAGGCAGCCGCTCCGGACTCGGCCCCGGTAAGGCTGCTGCTGCACTCCGGAGCTGCTCGGCTCTAGGGTCTGCATAATAGCGGATCCGGCCCCGATCCGGCCTCACGATGCATCTGAAGCGGGAGGAATCTCGGTGACTGGAATAGGTATGTAGGAAGGGGGTTAAAGAGAAGTTCGGGTAACGTACTGGAGTCCATCTCTGGCTTAGCAGAGGGAGAAACTGTAGCTTGACTCGTATACGGGCATTGCTACATGTGTATGTACAATCACGTGGGGGCTGGGCATCTCGAGGAGGGGGCAATTAGGCAATTAGCCTGGTCAGCACTTGCCTGAAGCCATCTTACACGTTCTACGGAAGGAGGGGTCCCGGTAAGACGGTGAGGGGAAGCTTCCTGGGGAAACCGCGAGTCAAAAACATGCTTGATTTTAGGCGTTGTAACTTCCAAGGTAGCTAGCGAGATGGATCGATTTCCCACTGCCGTTTCGGGCAAGAATGGCGCCTTATCTCTAGCCGATGACGGGGCTTATCTGCTGCCGACGAATCTTGATGGCCTCACTTACACGCATCCATGTCAATGTCGAGTGTCATCCATAAGATAGATAGCTTTTGTGTTAAAAAAAAATAAATGTTCATTATTCTGGAGACGATACGAATCTATATGAGGCTAACACATAAGATGGTTAAAATAAAGCCCACCCGATCTGCGTATATGATGCTCAAAACACACCCTTCAACTCCCTCTCCTCGTCCTTGTTCTCTGTTTCAAGCTCAAGATTCAATGCCAAACAATCCAATATGGAGCCCACCACCAATTCAAGCAGTAACCTAGCATCTCAAGACCTCCAAATCCTCCGCAACCACCTCGTAGCCATCGCCAAAGAAGCCGGCACAATCATCCTCTCCGCCAACCCAACCCCCCTCACAACCTCCTCCAAGAAAAACAGTCCGTCCATTTCCCCCCTTTACAAAAACATCACTAACCCATACAATCAATCTCTTTCTCACAGTCGTCGACATCGTCACTCAAACAGACAAAGCAGTCGAATCCCTCATCCGCTCAAACCTTGCCTCCCACTACCCTTCCTTCGCCTTCATCGGCGAAGAGACCTACCACCCCAACCAAACCATCACAAACCACCCAACCTTCATCGTCGACCCCATCGACGGCACATCCAACTTCGTCCACGGCTTCCCCGACGTCGCCGTCTCCATCGCCCTCGTCGTAGGCAAAGTGCCCACCGTAGGCGTCGTCTACAACCCCTTCCGCGACGAGCTCTGGTCCGCCATCAAGGGCCACGGCGCATATCACACCACACAAGCCAGCACCACCACCACCAACAACAGCAATGACATCTCCGATAACAATCATATGAAGCAGCTCTCCCCCAAATCCCCCCTCTTAGGCCTCTCTCCCGCCTGCATCGCCATCGAGTTCGGCTCCGACCGCCAAGGCCCCAACTTCGCCCTCAACCTCAAAGTCTTCACCACCCTCCTCCGTACCGCCTCCGACGGCGGCCGCTTCGTCAACTCCCTGCGCTGCTCCGGCTCCGCCGCCAACGCAATTTGTCGCGTCGCCACCGGCCAGCAGGACGCCTTCTGGGAGTGCGGCTCCTGGGCCTGGGACGTTGCCGCCGCTTGGTGCGTCCTCGTTGAGGCTGGCGGTGTCATGGTCGATGGGCATCCCGGAGGGTGGAATCCTCCCGTCGACAATCGGAGGTACCTCGCCGTGAGACCGGCGACGGCAGGGCAGAAAGAGTTTGTGGAGGAGTTTTGGGACGTAATTGGCGATGACCGCTCGACGTACGGGCCCTCTTGATGACTGCGATCTACTCTCAAGGTTGTGGTGGTCCATCATATGCAAGCGTTCAGGTATATAAATAATGTTGTCATATATTTCAGTCTTCATCTTTATATCATCCATCATAAAAGGAGCGTGTTCATTCATCCTTGTAATCCGTTAACCCCATTTATCCAAAGAAAAACCAAGCCCTTCATTAAGCAGTCTATAGGATATCATCCAAACAAGACGTGCAAGGCAATAAAAGAACCCAACCAACCATTCTACCAAGGACATTCTAGGTAGATATACCCCCCCAAAAAAGGCATCAAAACTCATTAAAGACATCATTTCTCCCACGGTATATGTACCTCCTCAAGACCAATTATCGGTACTCTGTTGCTCCTGATTCATCAAAAGAGACCATATTTTACACCGGCGAAAGAAGTCAAACTTTTTTGTTTTGTCTTTTTACAGAGCAAAAGCGGCGACGGCAATGGCGGCAGCGGCAGCTCCGAAAGAGCTCAGCTTGTTGCCGTTGCTTCCAGGAACGTTAGTCGAGGAAGAAGTGGCGCTTGAGCCAGGACCAGTAGGAGAGCCACCACCAGTACCAGTGGTCACAGTGATGTTAACACCGGGGAAGGGGGCAGAAGTAGTAAAGGTGGTAGCAGGGGCAGATGTGACCGGAGCACCGCCAGTGGACTGCTGCTCTGAAGAAGTGGTCTGAGCCTCCGAGGAAACAGTAGTCTGAGCCTCCGAGGTTGTGGTCTGGTGCTCTTCCGAGCTAGTAGTCTGCGGCGGAGGAGCAACAGTCGTCGACTGAGAGCCAGAGTCGGAGGTGGTAGTCTGAGAGTCGGAGCTAGTAGACTGAGCGTCGGAGCTAGTAGACTGAGCGTCGGAGCTAGTAGACTGAGCGTCGGAGCTGGTAGACTGAGGCTCCGAGTTAGTAGTTGAAGAGACAGGGGCGGAACTGGAGCTGGAGCTGGAGCTGGACTCGGAGGTGGGAGTGGTAGCGGGAGTAGTAACCTTGGTGGACGAAGCAGCAGCAGAGGAACTAGCGGGCTTGCTGGAGGCCGCGGAAGAAGACGCCGGGTTGCCTGGGTTGGTATCGACGTTCTTGCAAGAGAGATCAAACAGGGGCGTCTCGGTCAGCGTGCTGCCAATAAGGCCAAAGCTGGGGTTGGGAGCATCGGGAGCGGCATCCTGGAGAGTGTACCACCAGACATTGGTCTTGCCAAAGTTGGGGCAGCCAACCTGCTCCCAGTAGCTACGGGCGTTGGACGTAGAGGCAATGGCAGCGCCGGAGCTCACGCCGTTGACGGGCCAGCCGGTCTCGGTGACCCAGACCTCCTTGCCGGGGCCGGCGTTCTGGATCTTCTGCAGAGCGGCCTCGTACAGAGACTTTGCGTTGGAAATGCTGTTGGCATTGGTGTTCTCATAGTAGGGGTATGTGTCCATACCGAGCCAGTCGACGGCATCGACGACGGGCTGGTTGGAGTCCAGCACCCAGGCGTTCCAGGTATCGACGTGGCCGATGGGGACGTCAGACAAGCAAGAGCCCTTGACGGTGTCGCGGACCTGGTTGATGTAGTTGACCAGAGTTCCGGGCTGAGCTCCAGGGCCGGCATTGGAGGCAACACCGGTAGGGGTGATTCGGTACAGATCCTCGCTACCAATGGAAATACCAGCAACAAGACCGTCGAGCTTGCCGCAGTACTGGCTAATGGTGGCCTTGAGAGCAGCAATCTCGTTGGCAAAGGCAGCATCACCGGCGGACGCCCACAGGCCAAAGAGCAGGCTGGTCTTTGTGTTGATGGCAGCGGGGATAGCAGAGATGGGCGAGTTGGGAGTGCCGCCCTGGATCATGGTGTAGAGACGGGCACTGGTGAAGGCGCCATCAGTGCCATCGAGGCCAGCAGCCGTCTTGAACTCGGCCTCGAAGTCAGTCTGGGCCTTGGGCTGACCGTTGGTAAAGGTCGAGCCATAGTTGAAGCCCTGGTAAGCGGCGTTGACGGCCGAAATGGCCGTGGCCAGAGTGAGAAGAGTGGATGAAGAAGGCATTATTTTATTCTCTTTGTTCAAATCCAGTAAAATATGCTTCCTGATTCCTCTATATACGGCGGGAGATCCGGATTAAAACGAGACGGAAACCCGGAGTTTGAGGTGGCGATATCAGGTATCGTCGGTTCCCCAAAAAAGCGAACGAGATGGAAAGCCGAGGCAGAAACAAGCGAATGACCTTGCAAGAATATAGCTTGACGACGTTGCTCGTTGCTATATCACAGGTCCAAAAGCGAGGGGACGAGGTTCAGCAGCCACGAGGGGGGATGGAGAGACCAAGAAACAACGAAGGGATGAGATGAGGCGGTATAAGAAGAAGAAAAAAGAAAAAGGAAAGAAAAAGAAAGAAAAGAAAAAAAATAGGAGAAGCCAGCCTGGAAAAGGAAAGCCAGACAACAAACGTCAGCCAGCGGGAAGCGGAGTGAAGCGGAGTGAGTTGGGATATGGATACGAGATTCTGGCGTGGATGCCGAAAAAAGCAAGACACCGATGCACAAATGCAACCCACTCCAGCTGGCACCACACCACCACCGCCTCTTTTCTTTTCTGTCTCTTGTCTTCCTTCGTCTTGTCGTCTCCGTCTTTGTGTGGTTACTCGAATTTTTCTCAAAGGCCTACGTCAGCCGTCTCCAGTCGTTCTAAATCAAGCCACAGGGGTCAAGCGTCACAGACTTCTGATTGCTTTTTTCTTTTATCAATTTATTTATTTAATTCTTTCTCCCTCTCTCTCGTCCTTTTTTAATTATTACTATATCACTTTGTACGGCTTCCCTTTCCAGCTCAAGACACGTCATCATCGCCTTGACCCAACAACATGAGATTTCCTAATCGCGCGCAACTTGGGAGAATCACAAGCACAAGTACAAGCAGAGACGACAGGATGGAGGCTAAACTCGAATCGCTAGGGGCTCCATGCAGGTACGGCTAGCAAAAGCCTGTGGCCCCGAGCCTTTGAGCTTTTATCTTTGTGCGTTAGCGGGAGCCACAGCGCGGGATTCCGAAGAGCCGGAAGGATGGTAAATACCTAGCAAGGACAGTGCAAAGAGGAGAATTTCAGCATTTACAGTCTTTGTCGACATTGGTTTCAAAGTGTTTGCTTGATAGTACATAGCACATAGCAGTATAGGTATAGATGGCAGCGTCTTTGGGTGGCCATGCAGCTTGTTTCTTTCGTACTGGCGGCTAAATGGAATACGATGCTTGACTGCCCTTTTGGTGAACACGAGGTCACGAGGGGGGGATTTGTATGGAGTACTGAGGCGTGCGGTGGTTGGTCTTTCGGAGGATTTTTCTCTGCTAGCTGAGCTGAATGGCCTTGTGATGATGATGGCGAGGACGTGAGTTGTGTTGGGTTGTGCCCAGATGGTATTGCGAGTCCATACTATTGGGATACTCGCACAATCAATCGTACAAGTCGGCATCTCGCATCTGAGACGGGCGAGAGGCATCTGTCAGTGAGTGTTAGCGTCCACGAGGGAACCGGGGGGATGCCGGGCAGCCGCTGTGGCGTTTTTTTTTTTTTTTGTTTGGGCTCCAGTCAATGGATGCTATTTTCTCTCTCTTTGCAGGGGATCGAGAGGTGACGTGGTGGGTGATTTTGGGTGTCACGCTGTTGGTATCGTATTGATCCCTGATGGCCTCGTTCCATCGACGATCTACAGCATCGACGATGGGCCATGACATGATGCTATGGCATGGACAATGACGTCGTTTTCGCCATGCGGTCTTGGCATGAGCATGGCATGAGCTGAATGAATCCAGTCGGTCGACCAGTCAGTATTCGCACTAGTTAGTACTGCAGGGAGGCATTTTCTTCTCTCGTGTGTGTATCTTGGTCTTCTTGCCTCTTCCACTGGGTCGCTCCACCGCGACCAGCAAACCGGCTTGCTCCATCCTGGGTTTCCACTCAATGCTTTGGTGGGCCGAGTTACGGCCGTTGCCAATGAGTTGCAGCTATGGCTGGAGCATCTTTGTGTGCTAAATCGTTTCTCCAGTATCGGGGTTTTTGTAGACCACTTGCAAGGAGACCTTGATTGGAACGGGATGGACTTGATCCAGCTAGCTAACCGAGATTGAATCGGATGAACTTCATGACAGTAAGTGTAGACTTAGTAGTGAGGTAGTACGTAGATACGCAAGGCGGTTTGCAAAGATGGAAAAGAGAGAATCAATCATCACACAGAATCAAAACACGATCATGATCTGGCATTGAAAAGAAAAAGAAAAAGCAAAAACATACAACAACCGGTGTTCGCTGATGGTCACCCACTCAACTACTAATCTGTCTCTCATTAGCTTGACTCGGGGAGAGCAGACGGGATCCCGTATTCTCCAATGGATATGGTCGTATGTGCCAGGGCCTCGATAACTCGGACTCAGATTCCAGGCGCACATGCTCCTCACACTTGAGTTATGTGAAGGTTAGTAGTGCTCTTATTCTCCTCACGTATGCGCATATTCATTTTGCAGTCCCTTTTCTTTGACACGTCACGTGAGCAGCGAGGGTTAGTCATTCAACTTACTGCCGGCCGGTCTCGGCCCCTGCCCCTCCAAAGGCCCTCCAAAGTTTTTCCGAATGACTGACTATTGATTGCACCGCACCACGCCAATTGACTGCATTCGATTCTAGGAAGCTCGCGGCGACTTCAATCGACATCCCCACGATAACGCAGTATTCGTGATCATCATGGCGGCTGCTGGCAAGGCGCCCAGCGAGGGCATGCTCTGGGGTGGACGCTTCACTGGTTCGTCATGTCAATTGGCGGGGCAATTCAAGCTCCTGGGTGCTCTGTATGCTGACTCTACGCATCAATTACAGGCGGCATCGATCCCCTCATGCATCAATACAACGCCAGCATTTCCTACGATTCGCGCCTCTTCAAGGAAGATATTCTCGGAAGCATCGCCTTTGCCCGCGCCAATGCAAAGTCTGGCATTATTTCCAATGACGATTTTGTTGAAATCGAGCGTGGTTTACATGAGGTCCTGAAAGAATGGGAGGGGGGTCACTTTGTTATCAAATCAAACGATGAGGATGTAAGCAAGATGCTACTATACTTCACCTCTCCTAGGTGATCTACCTGGTCAGTTTATGATTATAGCTGACACAATAGATCTAACCTCTAGATTCATACCGCCAACGAGCGTCGACTTGGCGAAATCATTGGCAAAAATATTGCCGGCAAATTACACACAGGTCGCAGCCGAAACGAGCAGGTGGTCTGCGATATGCGTATGTGGCTACGCGGACGGATTCGTGAGATTGACAGCCAGCTTGTCGCCTTTGTCCAGGTGATTACCGGCCGTGCTGAATCTGAAATGTAAGCTGGCTTAACAACAACCCTCCCTGCCTCCTTTGACCAAGCGAGCGTATCCCTTCTGACTACTTTATCTTAGCGACTACCTCATGCCTGGGTACACGCACATGCAGCGTGCGCAGCCCATCAGGTTCTCGCAGTGGTTGATGTCATTTGGCTTCGCCTTTATGAATGATGTTGAGCGACTCCGAGAGTGTCTGAAGAGGGTTAACAAGAGCCCTCTTGGTTGTGGTGCTCTTGCTGGTAATGTCTTTGACATTGATCGCGAGATGATGGCTAAAGAGCTTGGTTTTGACGATATCCTCTGGAACTCTATGAATGCTGTCTCTGATCGAGACTTTGTAACCGAGTTCCTTCAATGGGGCAGTCTATTTATGCAACATATTTCGCGATGGGCCGAGGATCTCATCATTTATTCAACGACTGAATTTTCGTTCGTCTCTATTGCCGATGCCTACTCGACTGGCTCATCGCTGATGCCGCAAAAGGTTTGAAGAAGTCCGTATACTATTGTTGTGGCGCCTTTGCTAACAAATTATGCCAGCATAACCCAGATGGTCTCGAGTTATTACGAGGCAAGGCTGGCCGAGCCTTTGGGCACATGAGCGGGTTCATGATGACCCAAAAAGGGTTGCCGAGCACATACAACAAAGACCTACAGGAGAGTTGGGAACCCATGCTGGACCATGTCAAAACTATCTCCGATAGTATACAGATTGCAAACGGCATCCTTTCCACACTCACTATTCGGCCCGAGCGGATGCTGGCTGCGTTGGACCCCTTTATGCTCGCTACAGATGTAGCTGAGCGACTTACAAAACTCGGCGTCCCCTTCCGTGAGACACATCATATCGCTGGACGATGTGTAGCCAAGAGCGAGGAGCTAGGGATCCCGATGAACGAGCTTACGCTCGAGCAACTCAAGGCTATTGATAGCCGATTCCCGGATGATATCAAGGATATATTCAAATATGAGTCAAGCGTTGAAGCGAAATCGGCCAGAGGCGGCACCAGTCGATCAAGTATTCTAGAGCAGATCAAGGTCCTTAAGGCTATGTTGGGTTAGAGTTAATTACTTACGCAACTCCCAAATACATGTACACTCCATGCCACTACGCCTATATAATCCGTGCCGGTTTCCATCATATAATTGCAAGTGGTTCATCCTCCCTGCAGATATGCATACAACTATCCTTGACTTAGCTACTGCCCACAAATCCCCGGATCCCCCTTAAGCCCAACGTCTTCTTCTCCTTCTTGGGCTTGCCAGACTCGTCTTTGGCCTTGTCTTTGCTATCCCTGCGAATCATGCTCTGGAGTCCACCTGCGTGCGTGCGTCAGTGCTGCTAATCATGTACATGAGTGAGGCGATCAAGGTATATCAAACTTACTGCCAAAATAACTCCTTTCCGGGCTCATCGACAGATTAGCCGATGACGACTGTCCGTCCGTCCCGCCTGTACCTGCGGAGCTAGTCGGCTGCAGCGGCTGCAGCACAGATGATGTAGGAGTCCCCGGGTTTGATACGGGAGGAGATGTGACATTGTACCCTGCTCCTTCGATAGATTCCGTCGTTGATAGAAGTTGGAGGGGCCTTGATTTCATCGCCATTGGCCCCGTAGATGACGACATGAGATCCTCCTCGCCTTCCGCGATGCTAGACTTTTCCGTTGTAGTTGATGCTTCCAGTTGCATGTCGAGAAGAGACGACTGCAGCATCGTGTACTTGCGCGTCAGCAGGCTGTACTGCTTCTGCATCTCGGCCTGCTTGGCCCGGCTCGCCGCCAGAGCACTCTCGACTGCAATGTTCACCGTCACCGCGGGCCTGTTCCGTTCCTCACGAGCTTCTGAAAGCTGTGTCTGAAGCGTTGCCACCTGGGATTGGAAAAGCTTCTTCGTTCTCTGCACCTCCGCCTCCGAAGCCGTCAACTGCTGCTTGAGCGTTTCCAGTTGGTTCTGCGCATCCTCAGCCGCGTTGGCCGCTGCCATTCGTTCAACCTCCCTCGCCTGATAGTCTCTTTCCGAAAGCGATAGTCGCTCGACTTCTGCCTTGAGCCGGTCAATCTCTGCACCGTGAATCTCAATCTCCTGCATGTTTTGCTTTGCGTTCAGCTCCTTCACTTCGGCGTCGCACACGAGCTTGCGCAGCTTTTCACATTCCCGCAGGCTCTCCTCGAGCTCTTTCCGAACCAAGTCAATCTCCGTCTGCATCTTCTTTGACTCTTCACGCAGATTTTTCAGCTTGTTTGCGAGGTCTGCTTCCCACTTCTTCGCCATGGCCCTGCTCTTTTCCGACTCCTTGCGGACTTGCATCTCAGACATCTTGGCCTCTTCGTAGCGGCTCTTGAGGTTTCGATTCATCATGATTAGATTCTGCATTTCTGCCTCGGTGGCGGCCTCCGCCATTTGCCTCCGCCTGAGCTCGCCGATATGGGCCATGTGTTGCTGCTTAAGATATCTCTCAAAGCTGAGGTCATTTTGCAACAAGATGAGTTGTCTTTGCAGGTGAGCAATTTGCGCATTGCTACTTTCTCCAGCGGATACGGGCGTATGAGTCTGCGGTGGCAGCGTCATCATCGTCGAGGGCCTATCCACTACAGACTCCTGATGACTCAGAGCAAGAGATGGTACGCTGTCGTTTGCCAAGGATTGGTGAAGACTGCTCTTGATTACCTTGTTCGACCTAATAAGATCTTGAAGCTGAGTATGGGAGGCCGACTGGAGCAGCTGAGTGCCAGAAGGGCTGTCCACGCCGAAGAAATCCTTGTTTCGTGCAGCTTCCCCAGAATCTCTCGCCGAATGGTGACTGGATTGAGAGCCTCGCCGCATCAGTGTCGATGGTGTACGGTCGCTGGTGACGGACTCTGTTGTCGACATATGAGTGTTCCTCCACGAATTCACCTTGGTCACCGAGCTGCTCAGCAATCCAGGGTCTGACCTGGCTTGGCTCAACTCGTCGTTGAGAACCCGGCCCGAAGAGTCTGGCAGATGTAACAGTTCGTGGTCGCCAAACATTTGGGATTCTGGCGCAACACACAGCGCCATGCATTCGGCCACGACCTCGGCGGCTTCGCTCTTGATCCAACGCCCGAAATCGGTCTTTTCCGTTTCGATGGTGAGTGTGTAAAAGTTGGGGTGAAGTACGTGGCATCTCCTGAATTGTTCCGACTGATGTCGAATCTCCGTCGGCTGTACCTCGATTTCGTCCGCACCGGACACGTTGGCATGGCGCATATACCTTTGGGGTTTGCGAATGTAGTCCATGAAATTAATGGGATAGAGACCGTATAGAATCGTGTAGTAGTTGGACAGGTGTGATATGCCGGTGTCTTCCGTCTCCGGGTCGTAGGCAAAAACCTCCCACCGGCTTGCCTGTTCGGAGTCGTGAAAGGGCGACTCCATGGTTCCCGCCCTCTCCTTTTCCCAGAATAGTAGCCTGGTATAGATGTTAAAGAGAGTAGGCAAGTGTGGCACCAAAGAGCTAGGCATGTGCGGTAGTAACATGATGAGTGCGGTCAGCGCAGCCGAGATGACCGTGGTTGACGTATCTTGCTGAAGGCATGTTAAGAGGTTGGTAAATAAAGGGGTTTGAGCCACTTGATGTAGATGGGGCGGCTGTGATTGGATAAATGAACAGAAGAAGTTCAGACTGGCTTTTCTAAACTTTTTCTTGACGAGGTAGCCGTCCAACGAAGAGAAGAATTCCTAGATTCTGGTTAGTTGCCAGCGGCCTTGGAAGAAGAGAAAAGACTAAGAAGAGATGGTAAGAAGGCTGTAAACGTATGGATGTACATACTTTTGGTCGCTTCTTTCCAAATTGCCCCAGCGCATCGCTAATCATCTTTTCACTGTGCTCTGACGGCTGGTAGCCCTCAAAGCGGGCAGGGTGAACTTCGTCCATCCATATCTCAAACAGTCGATCGATGAGGGGGTTCGTCGCCGAGTCCTTGCCGATGCCATCGTGGTAGTCGTCGGAAATGGTGACAATCTCGTTGAGTATCTCCATGGCCTCGGCGACAACGTTCTTGTCGAATCCCGTCTTGTCGAGAATGCCCTTGCAAGCGTCCAACCACACCAGTATTCGTTCGGGAGTCCGCAGCACGGTAAATAGCCGGCGCAAGATGCTCAGCCAGGCGCCAGCCGCGGCAGGGTTGCCCCGGACATTCTTATCAAAGATGAGCAGCAGCTCCTCCTGCAGCCGATCAGACGCAGCATCGTCATACTTTTCGCGCCTCCGCAGGTAGCCAGCGATTGTCTCGGTGAGATCGTCGGGAAGGGGCACGGTCGGCTCGACGATGAAGTCCTTGATGGCTTTGGACAGCTCCTTGAGGGATCTGCCAACGGTGGGGTCAGTTTCAATCAATCCGAGGGGGCAGAACCAGCCACCCCGCACAAACCAGGACCCGTTGATGGACGATCAACTCACATTGTAGAAGCCATCACGGCAGGATTTGCATCGGGCCGCAGCTGAGGCCACCGTGGCCACCGCCAGGATCGTGGATGCTTCCGGCAGGCGTCTCGAGAGTAGAGTCAGAAGCAGCAGATGCGCTACAAGCTTCCCGATGGTCGAAATCAAGGGGCCTCGCGTTTTTGGAGATGGTGTTGCGCGCTGGAGTTGGTGAGGTTTAGCCGGATGGAGAACAACTTAGCTTTGGAGAGGAAGTACTGTACTGTAGAGCTTGCAGCAACGGATTTGCGGTGGCCAGACAGCAAATGGAGGCGCTAGACCCGGACGGCCTAGCACTGCGGAACAGGCAGAAAATGTTAGTGGAGGTACTACCTAGTAGGTACCTTAGTACCTGGTATGGAAGGGAACCGCACCCCGCCAGCCCGCCATGGGCTTGTGAGCGTCACAGCGGGCTCCATCTCAGTGCTCAACCCCGCAATTTCTGCTGGAAGCCCGCTGGACCCGTTGGCTGCTACCGCTGCAAGCCCCGGGCACACGATCCATCGCCCGTTGGTGGGCTGATTGGCTCCGCAGGTCGGGCTACGTAAACGGACGCGAACGTACTGAGCAGACACTCGCCATGTACACGCCACACATTGGGTATAGGTACTACAGGTAGTCGTCAGGTCAGGTCAGCATAGCAGCAATACCCTGATGAATTGAGCCCTTGAGCTTAAGGCACAAGCTGATCGACTAATTGAACCCCATCGCGTGATCCCCTCCCTCGAGCCCCTCCTCGCCTGCCCCTCTCTTGGAGCTACGGCCTATTTCTTCTGCTCCTCCAACTTTGTTTTTCACTCCTTCTTCCTTCTTTTCTTCTCCTCGTCCATCTTGATTATACCCTCAAAACATCCCAATTGAAAGCGTCAGAGACGTCTACCTCCTCTTCATCCCTCAATTCACATCGTACGCTGTCGGCTTTCACTTCCAAGCCGTCAATTCCACCTGACTCACTCACACGCTTCTTGTTCCCCCTCCCAACACACAACATCCCCCGCATTTCACGATGGCTGCGAATAAGACTTCAGCTATTGCTGACCAGGAGCCCATCGACGTCCTCTTTGCTCTGCATCCCAAGTTTGACATGCTCGACTTTGCAGGGCCATTGGCTACTTTCTGCCAAGCCCAGCATGACTTTGGCGATGATTGTACGTACATGCCGTTGGAGCCCGTCAAGGTCAAGGTTGGGCCCAAATGCTAACCAAGCTTTCCCCGCATCTCAAACAGCCACCAAAGCATTTGAAGTGACTCTGGCCGGCAGTGAGCCCCAGGTTCTCTCCGCCCAGGGCCCCATTGTGCAGTCCCAAATCACCTTCCGGGAGGCTCATGATCGCCTCGATGAGTTTGACGTTCTCGTCATCCTCGGCGGAAACGTCGATGAGATCATCCAGAAGGAGCTTGAGCCTCTTGGCCTCATCACTGCCTTTTCCGACCTTCAGAAGAAGGATCCGGCCAGGGAACGAACCCTCCTGTCCATCTGCACCGGCTCACACCTGCTTGCCCGAGAGGGTATCCTCTGCGGCCTCTCTGCCACTACCCACGCCGACTACTTTACCAAGTTTGAGAACCTCTGCAGCGATGCTGCCACCCGACTCTTGACTGAGCGTACCGACGTCATCGAGGATGCCCGATATGTCGTCAACAACCTTCGCTTTGAGCTAGGCGAAGATGAAAGCCCATACACTCGCCGCGCGTCCGATGCTGGACGACCCCACGGCCGGTAAGTCGTTGCACTACTACGATGCCACATTTACAACTCGACTTGTTTGCTGATTTTACTTTTCTACAACAGCAAGGGAAGCATCTCCTTCAAGGAGTCCAACACACGCCGCGAGTCAATCGTCAGACGTGCGGCGATGCGCCTCGGTGGTCTTCGGGTCATCACCGCGGGGGGTCAGAGCGCTGGCATAGATGCATCTTTGTATCTTGTCAGCGCCCTGGTGGATGATAAGTGTGCCGAAGAGGTGGCCAGGCTCCTGCAGTGGACCTGGAACAAGGGAGTCGTCGTCGACGGCCTCGACGTGTAAATGGCAACGATACGGGCGCCATATTAATCGCCAGCGGAAGCTTGGCTGTGTAGCAAATCTTGCGGGTCGATGTTATAGCATCCGCCGTGTTCATTGAAGAACTAGCTGTAGTATTAGGAAACGAATGGAATGAATCTGCAACTCTTGATTACTTTTGCATCCTCTTCACTCCATGTGGCTCCGACTATCACCACCTTTATACCATGGACCTCGTTTTGTCTCGACTTGAGCTGCCCAAGCACTCACGAGAGGAGCAAAGCAGAGCAAACGCTCAAACGTCAAACAAAGCGGGGACACGCTTTTGCCCCTACTGCCGGAGTAATACTTTGAGAGCCCCCACTTTGGCTCACCTGGAGCCGGGTCTCGATGAATTTTAGCCAGCGATGCACCGGTATTGATTGAGTTGAAGCGGGGAACCTTGCTAGGCCTGCATTTTGGTCGAAGCGGATCGGATCCTGGGAATCCATGTCTTCTTGGCTCTTGTTTTTCTCCCCTACTGAGGTACCTTGGCCATGTACAGTACGTGTGCACGAATACTCGTATTTTTTCTCGCAGCGGTTTGTTTTCTCGTTTTATTGCTTCACGTCATTGGGATCCTCCCAAGAGCCAAACTCAATTCCTAGGCAAGCAAACACCTAACCTGGACTGCACGGGTTCATGATGCTGCAGTTTCTGATGAAGCCAGTGGTACTGCAAGAATAGAAGCAGCAGCAAGTACCTCACCTCTACTGCCGGTAATTGAACTCATCGTAAATGGCATGTAGTGTGTGCTTTGGGTACCAGGTAGAAGCTGGACGCAATGCCTGTGTCGAGGCCCAAACGCCAACCTTGAACTAAACAAATGCGGACGTCCATTGGCAGTGTCGCTCGCTGCAAGTGGTCACGAGGGGGAGCAGCGTCCAACCAGCCAGAGCTTTCAAGCTACCTACTAGGTACTAAGACAGAAACTGAAATCGCCTGCAGGAAATGGAGCTACCGAGGTGCTACAGTAGTGTACGTTACCTACTAGGTATGCAGCCATGCGCCGTAATACAGAGCTTGACTGACGTCTTGTGTGGCCTCGAGCACAAAAGCGAACTGAAAGATACAAAATCCAAAGTACATTAGTACTAAGGTACATAGATGGAAGTGAAATGGAAGAGGCATGGACACGCGCTAGGCCGGAACCGGAATACCCACACGTTATGTAATCACGATTTGGCCCGTCCGCTTGGCCCAAAAAACGCAGCTGAACTGGAGCCCTGCAGGGGCAGCGCATCGAGCTTCACAGGCATTTGACCGTCCAAACGCTTTTCGCGACGCGCCTGGCAGCTTTTCTCCCTCCACCGACGGCGAGAAGAAGCAGCTTTTTCAACTTCGCATCTGCATCTGCAACTGCATTTCCCCCGTCGCAAAAGACCAAGATTTCCATCCATCTCTTCCATTTCGCTTGTCATCGCGCATTCCCGCTTCCAACAGCTCCGCCGCCTGCCGCATTCGCCCCCCTTTCGCCCAAGCAAACTGACGGAAAAGCAAGCAGAGAAACGGCCATCCTTCTACCACTTTTCGAGTCGCCGACAGTAGGTGCCGCGGTGCATCTACAAAACACGTCACCATGGCCGACTGGTCGCAGCTCAAAGTCGTCGACCTCAGAGCAGAGCTCAAGAGTCGCGGTCTGCCCTATGCCGGCCTCAAGGCAGAGCTAGTTGCGCGACTCGAGGCTGCCGACAAAGAGGCCGAGCAGGGGGAAGGCGAGAACCCACCTGAAGAGCCCAATGAACCGGTAGCTGTCGAAGAGGACAATGTCGAGAAAGACAATGTCGAGGCCGCACAGCCTTCTCCCGCGAGGGACCCTACTCCAGCGGTCGAGCAAACGGCCGATCACGCCCAGGAAGCCAAGCCTGCGCAGCCAACCGAGGAGCGCATTGCGTCTCCAGTTCCTGTTCCAGCTCCAGCTCCAGCTGAACCTGAGTCTGAGCCAGCTGAGCCAATTGCTGAGAACCCTTCTGAAGCTCTAGAGGGCGATGCTGGCCAGGCTCGTGAGGCGGCTGTTGACAGTCACCCGCCAGCTGGCAACGAAAAAGAACAGCCCCTTGAGAGAACTGCTTCTCCCGCGCCCAAAGAACCCACACAAGAACCCACGCAGGAGCCCTCACAGGTTCCCACTGCAGAGGCTTCCATTGAACCAACGCCGGAAGCCCAGAAACGCAAGCGACGTTCTCACAGCCCACTTCCCACCGAAGAAGAGATTGCACAAAAACGTGCACGCGTCGATAACATCACGCACGAGGATAATGCCCCCGTCGCAGAAAAACCGAACGAGGCGGATATTGCCATGACAACTGCTTCGCACGAAGAACAGCCCTCTGCTATGGAAGACGTTCAGCCCGTCGAGACGGAGAGGAGCGTGGAGCCGGCGATGCACTACCCTACTACTGCAATCTACATCAGCAATCTGATGCGCCCATTGCGCCCCGATGATCTCCAGAACCATCTCGTCAGCCTTGCTGCCACGAATGATTCCGACACCGCAAAGGACCCCATTCTCAGATTTTACCTGGATCAGATCCGTACTCATGCCTTTGTCACCTTTGACTCGGCGGCCACCGCCCTACGAGTTCGCACAGCACTGCACGACACCGTCTGGCCGAATGAGAGCAACCGCAAGGCGTTGTCAGTAGACTTTGTTCCCTCCGAAAAAGTCGATGAATGGATCGAGATGGAAGAGGCTGGCGGTAGACGTTCGTCGATTCGTTGGCAGGTGGCTTATACCGATGGACCTGATGTCCAAGCTTCATTGGTGGAGTCTGCATTTGCGTCGAGAGCAGGACAGCCGGAACCGCCCGCTGCTGCTAGACCACCGCTGCCGCTTGGAAGTTCCAATGCTATGCCCATTGGACCTCGGGCGCAGCGTGGCCGCGACCAGTATCGTGAGGATGAGGGCGAGGGCGATCGCTCTCGAGGAAGAGATGCTGAAGGTGACCGCAGCCGACAGTGGGATTCCGAGACCATGCGCCCGCCGCCTACCGGACCACGAGGCAGACGAGCAGGTCCGCGATCTACTGTTAGCTCTCTGGACCATGTTGTTGAAAGGACCAAGGCTCGTCCTCATATTCCATTCCAGGCCGTAGCAGAGAGTGTCGCCCGCCGCCGTCTAGACAACATTTCGGTCTACAGCAATGAAGACCCGAGTCCTCACTTCAACTCCAACCGCTACTCCTTTGAAGGCGGCGACAACTTTGTGGATCGCGGCAGGGAGATTTTCGAAGGCATTCGACCTCCTCATCGTGAAGCTGAACGCCGTGGCGGACGCGGAAGCGGGCCTCGGCAGCGAAGAGGAACGCCGCCTTTCCGGTCTCGAGGCGACCGATATGTCCCCAGCGGACCAGGCCCCAGCCGACGCACCGGTGGTGGGTATCCTACGGGTAACTGGGACTAGAACAATCCAGCTCCGGGTTACCGCGCTGTGTGATGCGAGGGGGATAATGGCATTTATCAAAATCTTGATGGCGTTTAAGGGGGGGTGGATACTTATAAAGGGTTATAATAATAGGGTGGCAACACGGAGGGTTTTTTTTTTTTTTTTTTTTTTTTTTTTCACGAGGGAAGATGGATATGAAGGATTTGCTGCGATATATGGCCCCTTTGTGGGCTTTTGCATTTGATCCCTATTTTTGAGGATCTATATGCGTGTATGAATTAATGTAGGATACCTATGTATAAACATGTATGAGTCTTGTTTATGTTGAAATGATCCGGTTGTCCATTGCGAGAGGTGTTGCTCATATTTCTCCCCGTATGTTTACTCGAGTAATGTATGTCTAGTATGGTTGTCTCTACTTGTTGGTGACCTTTGTTTACTTTGTTCATTCTCTGTAAGAGGACTTGTCTGAATTACAATTCTACAATTACTTCATCTACTACTGGAGAGATCCTCAAGAAACAGTCACAAGCAATGTTTGGTTGTAAGTGATGTCAAGTAATTGTAATTCTTCTTAGATAAAAAAAACTTGAATTAAAGGCAAACAATATGAATCATTCTGAATTTCCCCATTACTTTATAAAACGCCCTAAACGAAGACCCTCGAAATCCAAATCGACCATTCTTCAAGTACAGCACTGCTCTAAGCAAGGCCGACAAGAGGAACGGGCTCGACACCAACACGCTCCTTGCTCAGGACGTCAAGGATGTACTGGCTAGGTCGGTTGTCCTTGTAGACTTGCTGGGCGCTCTTGGCAGCGCGGACGTTCTCGAGGTACTTCTCGAACAGGTACGAGCTGTCCATGGGGCCGCCCTTGGCCTCGGGGTGGAACTGGGTCGAGAAGATGGGGCGGGTGCGGTGCATCATGCCCTCGTTGCTGCCGTCGTTGAGGTTGACAAAGTACTCCTTGAAGTCGTCGGGCAGGGTGCTGGAGTCGACGGCGTATCCGTGGTTCTGGCTGGTGATGTGGCACTGGCCGGTGGTCAAGTCGAGGGCGGGGATGTTGTGGGCTCGGTTGCCGTACTTCATCTTGATGGTCTTGGCGCCGACGGCCATGGCCAGGAGCTGGTGGCCGAGACAGATGCCCATGATGGGGACGTTGGAGGTCTCCATCAGGCGGGCGAGGTTGTAGACGGTCTCCTGGCAGTGGATTGGGTCACCGGGGCCGTTGGAGATGAAGACACCGTCAAAGTGCTGGGCGACCTTGTGGATCGGGTAGTTGTAGGGGAAGACGGTGAGCGAGGCGCCTCGGCTGACCAAGCTGCGGAGGATGTTTTCCTTGACACCACAGTCGATGAGGGCAATGTGGAGGTCAGCACCGGGGGACTCGACCACGAAGGGAGCCTTGGTGCTGACGCGCTTGACCAGGTTGATCTGGCCAGGGTCGACGAAGCTCTCGTCCTCGTCGGCGTCGTACTCGTCGCCAATGGAGATCCTAGCGAGGGAAGAACCCTGCTCTCGGAGGTGGGTGACAATGGCTCGAGTGTCGACGCCAGAGATGGCGGGGACGCCCTCGCGGGCACACCACTCGCTCAGACTCTCGACAGCGGTCCAGTGGCTGTAGTTGAGGGCGACGTCGGAGACGACAACACCGGCACACTGGATGTGGGGAGACTCAAAGTACTTGAGGAGGTTGTACTCGTCGCGCTCGTTGGAGGGAACGCCGTAGTTGCCGATCAGGGGCTGGGTGAAGACGAGAATCTGGCCACGGTAGGAGGGGTCCGTCATGGACTCGGGATAGCCAACCAGAGACGTGGTAAAGACGGCTTCGCCAGAGATGTTAGCATTGGCGCCGAAGGCTTTGCCGCGGAAGATGGGGCCATCCTGTTGAGACAATCATGTTAGTACATGGTGTATATAGACGATGTATATATGTGTTGGAAGAGCATATATGGCGCATCTTACTCGAATGGTGAATGTAGCGGGCACAGACCCAGCAGGCTGAGTTGCCAATGGCTGCTGGAAAGGCATGTTCCTGCCCTTGCTGCCATTGGCAAGCGTCTGGCTGGACGAGAATCGGGTCTGGAAGGCCACTCGGCGAGAGGCGCTCGTGGCAGAGCCAGCCGCTCGTTGGGCGAAATTAGCTGCCAGCTTGGAGAACATGGCAGCGGCGAGCTCGGATTAGGTTCGGGGGTTTGGTTTTCTTTTGGTGAATGACAGGTGGTGGGAGGCAGATATTTTAAGCTGACAAGGCCCTCCACAGGTGGTCTATGAGAAGCTTGTTGTTAGTTTACATATGAGGGGGGTGAGTCACGGTTGCACCAACCAGAGAGATAGTCCTGTAAAGCAAATGATATTAGCATTTTGAAAGCAATTGATGCAGAATTTTATGATGGTATAAGCAAACGAGGGCTCTTCCAAAGCTGCCCAATGTGGGGGAGAATGGAGTTGTATGTGAAAGCGCACGTGGGGGAGCCGTGGGTGATATCACAGCACAAACACAGATTGAAAAAAGAGTCACATACCTGGGAAGTGAATTCCGACGGGCGCCCGTTCATAAGGGCGGATTGAGAAACGGCAAGTCGAGGATGTATAAACGAGGCACGAGGCACTCTGAAATAGATTGGATTGAGCTGATGCGGGTTTGTTTTGCACAAGGTGCGAATTGGACTGTTGACTCTTCTGACTGATGGTGAAAAGAAGAAGTAAAAAAAGAGAAGGAGAAAAAAGAGGAGAGGGGGAAAAGGGTGCATCGGATGGGTCAGATAATAGTTTAGTGCCATCGACTTTTTTTTCTCAGCGCAGTGATGATTTGGCGCAGAGATTAATTGCCGGCCAATGGTTGGCTGGATTGGCGTGTTAGTGCCACCTTGACAAGTGCGGCTTGTCCTGTTTGGGCGAGCTCTGGGGCGCCGATATCGTTGTGGCTCGTGTGCCCTATTGTGACAATGCAGTAATTTGATTTGGGGGCGGGATTTGCGGGAGAAAAAGAGAAAAGACGAGGGTAGAAGATGCAAAAGGGCGCGGCATGTTGGTGGCATTGTCTGAGTTATCATAGGGCGTGAGTTATATGCATATGCAAACAACTGCCTGTAATGACACACTTGAGACGGATAGATTGATGGCGGGGCAGATTGGAACAACCTACGCAGAGACAGACAGACAGACATTGATTCAGTGTGCAGTCAGTTAATGGGAGTGCAATTCAATATAGTAGAACAATAAACTTGACTTGAGCTCCATATTCGAGTTTCCCCCGGCCACGGCAAGATTGAGAGACGCCAACATTGATACATCATTTCCCGTGTAATAATAATAGTCTACCATGGGCGTAAATGCAACGTCGAGTTAAACAACAGGTATGTAGGTATACCAACCAGATCTACAATGTATTGACACATTTCCCCCCTTTTACAAAGCACCCAGCTCCTTCAGCTTTCCAATCAGCCCATCAACATCCTCAACCTTGCCGCCTCCCTGTCTCTGCGGTGGCTCTGTTCATCACACATCAATTAGTCCTCACATCGTCCCATCATATTACTTCAATACTTGTGAGGAAAGGAAAAACACAGCCATATAGAAACTGTATCTCAACGCACCTGTAACCTTCAACACCTTCAATCTCTTGTCATTCGTCAACCCATAGTCCTCAAGCGTCTTCTTTTCCAGCTTCTTCTTCTTCGCCTTCATAATATTCGGCAGCGTAGCGTACCGCGGCGTGTTGAGCCTCAAATCCGTCGTAATCACCATCGGCAGCTTCGCCCGCACCGTCTCCACGCCGCCGTCAATCTCCTTGGTCACCGTCACCGAGTCGTTGTCCCCGAACTCAATCTTGCTCGCCTGCGTCGCCTGCGGCCAGTTGAGCAGGCCCGCCAGCATCTGGCCCGTCTGCCCCGCGTCGTCGTCGATGCTCTGCTTGCCCAGGATCACCAGGTTGCTCTTCTGCTCCTCCACCGACTTCTTCAGCAGCTTGGCCACCGTCAGCGGCTCCAGCTCCTCGCCGTCTTTAATCTCCACGTGGATGCCGCGGTCCGCGCCCATGGCCATGGCCGTCCGCAGAATCTCCTGCGCCTTGGGCGGGCCGGCCGAGAAGGCAACAATGTCTTCGACGCCGCCGGGCGCGCGCTTCTTTTCGCGGATTCGCACAGACTCCTCCACCGAGAGATCGTCGAACGGGTTCATCGAGTGCTTGACGCCGGCCGTCTCCACGCCCGTCTGGGCCTTGTTGACTCGCGGCTTGACCTGTGTTCACCATTCGGGTCAATTGACATGCTCCTCACGGCGAGCAATGGGATTCAGGGCTCTTTCTTACAGCATAGTCAATGACTCGCTTCACAGGGACGAGGATCCGCAGGGCAGACATTGTGGTTTCTGGATGTTTAATGGGTTGGATGTGACCAGAATGAGGGACGTTCCCGGTCTCGACAGACGAGTACGAAATAGCCGGGCCAAGAGACCGAGACCTACAGCTGCCGGCTAGGGCCGGCTCCCGTGCAACCTCGGATACTGGCTCACGTGACATTGATCCCGGCGTCGGGTCAGAGACAGAAAGAAAGACGGGCAATTTCACTTATTTCGACAGTAGACAATAGGGAGAAGCCACGGAGAAAAAAATTGAATGGGAAAAATAAATTAATATTTAGATGCATCTTGTATATACAGGAGTCTTTCTCCTCCGGCCGCATTCTTCCCCAGTAATACCCTCCTATTGTGGTCTGAGCAGCAGGTATACATCATCATGTATACCTTCAATTGTATAGCAGGCTTGTCTCAGCAGCTTTCATCATGTCGTTGCTCCATCCAGGCTCATTCATCGCCCTAGATTCGCCTCGAGGCCACTCGTCATAATTGGTATATGGGCCATCGTGTCTTGGATGACGGCTACCGTCTTGTCAATTTATTCCAAACGCTCATATTTCGTCAAAATAAAAAAAGTGTATCTCTTCAGGCCATAAATACTCCAACGCCAGTAAACATGAAATCATTCCAACTGTTTACCAATCATCCCACTCGTCGCCAGTCTTGGGCTTCTGGGCCGGGGCTCCCGGGGTCGTCTTCTTGCCCATGCCTATGGCACTCGTGCCGATGGCATTGTTTGGTTTCTGCTGCTCGGCCAAGTTGGAGAAGTCATCCCAAAAGTCCTTGCGGCTGGCATCCAGAGGTGCGTTTCGCTTGGTGGACTCGGGGCCTTCGACAAATCTGGTGAAGCCCTCTTGTGCGTTCTTGCCGGCAAGCTGTGCTTGTTTGGCAATCTGGGCGGCCGTCAACTGGGCCTGCTTGGCAAACTCACCGTCGGCAATCTAGGAAAAAGAGTTAGCTTACGTAGAGCGATTGCTGGCGATCAAGAGAGCGGGACTTGAAGAAACAAGCGGGGAAGATACTCACGCTCTTCGCGGTGGGCTGAATGTATCCATCATTCACCGTCTTGGCGGTCTTGGACACGGTGGAGGCAAACCATCCGAATCCCTTGGTGATGGCGCCCATTGGGTCCTTTTGCAAATCGTCAAACCCCGGCATTACACCTCCTTGGCTGGACTTGTCGGGAGTAGGCATGTTCCCGAAGCCGGCATACTTTCCGCCTTGACTAGGAGGCAGGCCATCGGGCCGTGAGGCATTGTCTGCTCCCAGTTTGGCAAAGTACCTGTCGTCCACCTTGACCTTTCCGCCCTGCTGGGGGCTCTGGCTTCGGTTTGCGGAGCCGCCGAGGGGGGTAGACGGCTTCGCAGCGGCGGGAGTCGACTGTGTGGTCACGGGCCTCTTCTCGCCGGGGACGTAGTCTCGCCCCTCGACCTTGCACGTCAACCTCTCCTTCCACTCTTCGCCGACCTCGCCGCTGTATCGCTCGGCAATGGTGGCGTCGTCCCAGCCAAGTCCCCTCATCTTGGTGTCCTCGTGCTCCTCGAAAAACTTCCTCCAGCCCTCGTTGCCGCCCAGGCGCATGCGCTCAATCTCGTTGGCCTTGAAGGCGTCCATGGATATGCTTCGAACAAAGGAGATGTGGACGCCGAGCCCGCGGTGGACGCCGGCGCACGTCAAGCAGATGAAGATGCCGAATTTGGGCGACGCCCACTGTGGCGACGGCGCATTGCAGTCGCAGCAGACATTGTTCTTGGATTCCTTTTGCAGAGCAGCCAGCTACGGTAGCACAATGCAAAGATCAGGTCAGTCGTTGTTCATCGGGGGTTCCCTGCCAGAGCAGACGAAGCGACGGCTCGCGAAAGGGGGGAACGAGGGTGCAAGTAGGGAAGATGCGCCGTACCTTGGACCGGGTCTCGGGATCGACCTCCCACATGGCCTTGGAAGCCATTGCGATTCTGACGAAGCGAAGAGCGTTGATAGAGAGAAGAAGAGAAAAGGAAGAGAAAAGGAAAAGGAAAAGCAGCGACTGCGGGTTGTAGCAAAGCAAAAAAAGGCGATCCTCCAACGACTCGACAGCCCTGGCGCGTGATGTTTGGTCTTGGTGCAGCAGGGAGGTTGTCGCGGCAAAGGGGAGCGGGGCCTCTTCAACCTGTGCCCCCAACATGAAACCCCATAATTTCGCCGTGCGCTGCCGCTGCCGCCGCTGTCCTAAAGCCAATAATGGGACAAAGCCAATTGATCCATACGTACCTGGTATTCTTTACTTGTACTCCAATCTTCCAGCATGGACAAGGCTCCAGTCAACATTTATGCATGGTAGAGAGTAATTTATTTTGTTAAACCTTCTTCTTTTTTTTTTTCTAATATCATCTACTCAGCATGTTGATGTTGACTATCCGTAAACCCAGAACACTGTACTGTTCTGCAAGGGCCCGCAAACCATTGGCCCTTGAGCTTCCATGCCACAGCCCGGTTCCATTGCTTGTTATCGCTGCTGCACTGCACCAGTAAATGGATACATACCTCCACTACCATTTAGCACATGCAGCCACTAAATAGCTTGTTTGGATGGATGGAACCTCTGCCGTCTCCATTGCCATGCATCTATCGCCTTCTCGGGATCTTCAAACTACAGCGACACAACGAGCACGGTACAATATTCAACCCCTCGTATACGGCTTACTTGATGTGGGCGGCGAGACTCAACCCGAATGCTGCAAACAAGGTAGCCTGGGCGTCCCTGCAGGGGCGTCGCCCAGGTCGGCATCGTGTTTCAATGCGGACCAGGGACCAAGAATCACATCCACCAAGCCAGGACAACTCCAACAGGTAGGTGGATTACCAGTGTACTTATCATGAAGACACTTCATACATCCGTCCTGCTTCATCCCGCTGTCGTCGACCTTTGATATACAAGACACTCCAAGTTGTACATCAATCCCCCGTCACATGCACCAAAGGCAGCCTCACAGGACCTGTCTATACATACACAACACCGGGGATGTAGAACAAAGGCAAGACTACGAGGACATATCAGACAAAAACATCACTGACAAGAGGCAACACAATCAAGCACAGCCAAAAATATACTCTTTTCATTCTCGTGTTCGCTTTCCTTTTTGCCTGCCGCCCTTGGTTCGAGTTACCGCATAGCTAGAAGAAAATAGTAACAAGGAAAGGCATTTACGAAAAATAAGAAAACATTTTGAAGCGGCCTTTTTTTTCGGTTTCAAATCCCATGCTCCATTGGAGGGGAAATATTAACTTGTCAAGAAGTAGCTGGCACGTTATACCGTCCTGGGGATATGAAGACTTGAAGCGATATTCGAATGTAGCTCCCTTCCAGCCCCAAAGAAGATATAAAAGCCAGTCCTGGCGTCATAATTGAAATCGTCCAAATCGCGTGCCATATCATAAAGAGTACTCATCAAACGTAGGCGGCAAGCTGTTCAGCCTGTGAAAAAAAAATTGCCGCGCTTAAATTTAAGCAGTAGCAGCCGGGGCCTCGGCGGCAACCTCTTCGGTGCCGTTGGCGGCTGCGGGGGCATTGGCCTCCTCATCGGTCTTGTCGGGGCTATCGATAGCGACCTTGACGGCGATCTCACGTCCTTCAATCTCCTTTCCGTTCATCTCAGCGACGGCCTTCTGCTGGAGCTCCTCAGAAGCCAGGGTAACAAAGCCGAAGCCACGTCCCTTGCGAGCTTCGCCACGAGCCTGGAGCTTCTTGATCATGAAGCGGGGGATGGGGCGGAGAGCAATCTTGGCTGACGAAGGCTCGTAGTCTTTGAAGAGTTCAAGGAGCTTCTCATATCACTTAGCACGCATCTTCACAAACATGGGCTATACGCAACTCACCTTTTCCTCGGTCAGGTCATATGGCAGGTTGGCGACCATGACCTTGGTCTTGGAAGGAATGCCGTCAGCAGGGGGGCCACGCTCGCGGCGCTCCCGCTGAGGGCGGTTCTGATTCTTCTTGTCGCCCTTGGCTTCATCCGAGATTGTGTTGGTGATGTCCTTCAGGGGCTCAGCCTCGCCGGAAGCGTCAGCAGAGGCATCCTCCTTCTTCTCATCGTTCTCCTGCGATAATGATGTTAGCACCATGTAGGATGATAGCCTGGTGTAGGAGACACTTACGCCAGTGGCATTGCGGCCACCGCGGCCACCACGTCCACCGCGACCGCGGCCACGGCCACGACCACGGCCAGAAGCTCGGCGGCGGGTTCCCTCGGCACCAGAACCCTCTCCGTTGGCGCCCTCGGGCTTCTCACCAGCAGGCTCGGGCTTGCGAGCGAGCTGAACGGAAACCTTTCGCTCAAGAATCTCCTTGCCAGAGAGCTCAGCAATGGCACGATCAGCCTCGTTGGGGGTAGAGAGGTCGACAAAGGCGTAGCCGACAGGGCGGTCAGTGCGGGGGTTCTTGGGGATCGAGACAGACTCGCTGCAAAGATTGGGCCGTCAGCACATGCTCTGCATGATGGAATGCAATATGACAAGATGGATGAATGGTAGAAAGATGGAAAACCAAGACACAGGCAAATTGCAAGCCCTATCAAAGCCTTGCGGGGGTGAGGGATAGGTGAGAGGCTAATCGCGTGATGCAATGCGAGCAACGCCGGGGCGGAGTGACATTCACCGCCAATCAGGACACCGTCGCAAAGTTGGGCCGCCAGAGCGTTCATGGCGGGATGTGCTTTGTCACCAGCCTTGACAGGGACAAAGCAGAAGCAAAGAGGCCACAAAGAAGGAAAAAAAGCCGTGGTGGGTAGAGACAATGCATAGAGAGGCAGGAGTCAACGACGAGGGGCCACTTACACAAGGTAGCTCTTAAAGAAATCCTTCAACTCTCCCTCAGTTGTCGCATATGCCAGGTTGCCAATGTACAGACGGCGACCTTCAGCGGCACTGGCCGAGGCGGCCTCGTTGGCAGCGGCCTTGTCATCGGCAGGCTTGTTGATTGAGAGGTTGCCCAGAGCATTTGCAGCGTCATTAACGGGGTTGGCGTCGGGGCCTTTCTCCACGTTGGTAGCAGACATGGTGACGAGTCGGATGGAGAGGGGATGTTATAGTCGGCGTATGACGTGTGGTTGTGGAAGAGAGTCGAACTTGAACTCTGGTGCAATGAGGGAGGAAGTTGGGTCAGGGTAGCTTGGTGCCCTAGAAACAGGTTGAGGGAAGACAGACGTCGGTGCGTTGCGCGGAAACACAGGTTGACTGAAGGTGTGTGATGGAGAGGAAGGGAAAAGGAGAGGAGGAGAGGCGAGGCGTGCGATAACTGAAATATTTTTCGGAGGTGGTGCTTGGGAAGGACCGTGCAGGGGGGCAGGTACGAGCATCGCAGGTGCATTTAGGCTCGGCGGGCAGGTACCCCGCGACTCGGCAAGTACAAGCGAGGAGGGGGAAGGCAGGCAGCGCTCAGGCAGAGGTCAGGCACAGCTGGGGCAAGTCCAGAACCCCTCCTGCACAAGTCGTGGCATGTATCCCCCAGCTCCGGGGTACCGAGTGGCGCTACCACGGAGTACCGGCGTTGCAAGTACCCGGCGGCCCCTGGAGCAGATGCGGTCAAGGTGTATCTTGTTCCTGACATTCTGGAACTCGTGGAAGCTGTACTCAGGCAAGGCACTGCAATGCGCCCCTATTCTAAGATGCCAGCCGGATGGCCTAAGATCCTGCGACTGGAGCACTGTACGAGCACAGGTAACAGTCACAGGTGCGGAGTTGGACACGCAAGCTGTAAGTACTACTTTAGTAATACATACAGGTAGGTACAGGCGGCATTAGGTTCTGGGTACCTATACCCCATGGTATAAGGTTCCAGTGCACCGGCTCGATTGATGCAATCCAGATGGACGGACGGTACCTGGCAGGACCGCAGACTGTGTTATCGGTACCTTGCCTTGCGTCCACTGCGGTGCATCCAACGTTGGCTGTGCCTGCCGTGCGGCCAGCGGGCAGGCGCCTACCTGCTACTGTACGAGTACTCGTACATGCCCGCGAAACTTGCTCCTCCCCATAATTTACTGGAGGACTGAGGCAGCTGCGCGTTGCGAGGGTGCTTTGTTTCAAGGGCAGCTGCCACTGCTTCAGAAGCCCCTATTCACCACTTATCCCTACCTTGCCCTGCCTTTACTGTACATAGGAGGCGGGCATTGAGATCCCGTGGATGCTTTAGTAGTACGGAGCATATACGGAGTAATATCAACTGGACCTGTTGGAGCCCATCAATAATACAGAAAGGGGATGCATCAGTACCTACCACGGGCGGTTCAAGCATGACGTGACTGCAGCCACGGCTTATTCAGTCGTCTGATGTGGACGTGCAGCCGCCGACAGCTCACCAGCGCCCATTACTCAGTTTCTCCGATTTCTTACCCAATCCGGCTTATTTGCTGCTGCAAAGGCTGCCAACGTGCCTAAACTACCTGCAAGGGACCACGACGAGGCCAGTCCATCACGGCTTTGGGCCAGTTCCACGCATGTACGAGTACAGCAATGTATCCGGCCAACCCCCCCAAGTCGCACGGCACAGGGGATCTCGATGCCCTGGCCGCCGATCCACCCAGCTAAGGTGGGCAACGTGGCCCGAGCCATGGCCAAACAAGTGCAACCCTGCCTGCGAAGCCTCGGCGCTGTTTGATGCTCGCTTAAGATCTTATCTCACCGAGCAGACAGTACAAGTAGTAGAAATGGCTACCAATCCATCTGCCATGCTGCCTTATATATGCAGGTACTACTAAGGTTGGGCATCGTCAGAATATTCCTTTCCTCGAGTCATCTGCTCTACTCTTGTCCTTCCGCTAGCTGCTGAAGCTGTCCGCCGTAGTTCCGCCTGGAGCTTGCCCGAGCTGTTTGCTAGTCCAGCCACAAGAACGGAGCGAGCCCTTCCCCGGATTCCATTCCGTTGCCGACTAAAAAGCACTGACAAAAATGCTGTTGAGCAAAAAACAGTTTGCTGAAATGTGCAACGCAAACATGGCATTGGGCACGGCATGAAATGAGGCTTTGTGTGTGTGTTGTGCCAGATTATACCTTGGCCTCGCCATTAGATTTGGAGGCGATGCTTATACCTGCTGTGAAAATCTTTGTTCAGAAAATCTAGACATCCACTTACCCCCAATTTTTGCTGTACAATTCAGCTCAAACGTGCTCAAGACGCATTAATTTCATCAAAATGTCGTCAACCGTGAATTTAAACTCCTTTTCGTCCATTGTATACATCTTTTTTTTTTTAACCGTTTGCTTGCATGTCCCGGCACGTGGCTCCATGCCGGGAGAGGCAATTCTGATCAGATAAAGCAGCAGCATGAACCGATAAGATCAGATGGACTCCACCAAGCTCGGCTGCAGCCCGGCATCGGACACCCGCTTTTTTTTTTCCCTCCTCCATACATGCAATGTCGCAACTAAGCACCAACTGAAAATGCCAATGCGATAGACGCATCTGCCGTGCGCTCCGGAGAAGCAGCGATTCTCTCGACACCATGCGAGTCATACACGGTCCTTGCGAGCACACGTAGCGACGATTCCGATTGGCCTCCGGCAGTTCACCCGCCCCTTGTCGCCATGGCGAGCCAAGAGAGAAGCGTCCTGGTCGTGTATGGGTCGGAAACGGGCAATGCCCAGGATATAGCCGAAGAGCTTGGCCGGCTGTGCCAGAGGCTCCATTTCGAGAGCCATGTCAGTGAGCTCGATGCTACAGATCTTGTATGTTGTATCTTGCCTATAATCCATAGGAACAAACAGAGATGTCTGCTCTGGGTACATGTGATTGACGAATACCCCCACGTTGCAGAATGCGCTGTTGCAGCACCAGCTCGTCATTTTTGTCATCTCGACAACCGGCCAGGGTGACATGCCTCACAACTCACTGCTCTTTTGGAAAAAGCTTCTGCGGAAGAAGCTGCCGCCAAACTGCTTGAGTCGGCTAAAGTACACTTGCTTCGGTCTTGGCGACAGCACGTATCTCAAGTATGAGCAAGATCCTCTCATACAATGGCGTCCCATCTCAGTTTGAATGCATGAGCTAACTGCGTCTGTCCTGTTTCTAGGTTCAATTGGGCTGCGCGAAAGCTTGTGCGCAGACTAGACCAACTCGGTGCTGCCACTTTCATTGACGCATATGAAGCAGACGAACAGTTTCCAGATGGGTAAGCTTACCTACCTTTCCTCCTCATCAACCAGGCACTTGGTCGGCAAGGAGCTCATACGTCACTCCCTAGCATCGATGGCAGTTTTGTGAGGTGGGCTGAGGACCTGAAAAAGCACCTCTTGGAGCATTATCCGCCTCCATCAGGCTTGGAGCCCATCCCCGACGACACCATTCTCCCTCCCCGCTGGTCTCTGGCTCCGGCTCTTGATGCGCTTTCAGAGAAGATCCAGGAGGTCAATATATCTTCTCTTTCACTAGACCAGACAAATGCCACACCCACCGAGCCCAAGCTGCCGCCTCCAGGTCTCTTGCCGATTCCAGCCGGATGGACAGCAACCTTGACAAAGAACGAAAGATTGACGCCGCAGGAACACTGGCAGGATGTCCGCCTCGCGTCATTCGACATACCCGCTCACCCATCTGGCGAGAGAGTTCGATGCGTACCTGGAGACTGCCTCACGCTGTACCCAAAGAACTTCCCTCACGATGTTCAGAAGTTGATTAATCTCATGGAGTGGAACGACCTCGCTGACCGGCCGCTTGATCTGTCCGCCTGCCCATCTCTTCCGCACAACCTTTACGCTCCGGCATCGTGTACGCTCCGTGACCTGCTCCTCAACAACATTGACATAACCGCCATTCCGCGCCGCTCCTTTTTGAAGAACATGTCCTACTTTTCGTCCGACGAGTATCACCGGGAGCGGCTGCTTGAATTCAACATGCCCGAATACATGGACGAGTACTTTGACTACGCCACCCGCTCCCGCCGCAGCATCATTGAGGTCCTTGACGAATTCACCTCAGTCAGGATCCCAGCAGAGCGCCTCTTGGACGTCTTCCCGCTCATCCGCGGCCGCGACTTCAGCATCGCCAACGGAGGCACATCCGCAATCCACCCCTCAAAGGACGGCGCCACCAGAGTCGACCTTTTGGTCGCCATGGTAAAATATCGCACCATCCTCCGCAAACCCCGAGAGGGACTCTGCTCCCGCTACCTCGCCAGCCTCCTCCCCGGCGCAACCCTCCGCGTCTCCTACAAGGCAGTCCTCTCGCCCATCCACGGCGCCGCCAACGCACAGAGACCGCTCATCGCCATGGCCACGGGCACCGGCGTCGCTCCCGTGCGATGTCTCGTCCACGAACGCCTCACGCATTCATCCCCAGCACCAATGATCATCTTCTTCGGCAATCGAAACCGCGCGGCCGACTACTTCTTTGAAGACGAATGGCGTGCGCTCGCGGAAGACGCCACCAAGAAAAACTCCCAGCTGCTTGTCTTTACCGCCTTTTCGAGAGACCAGCGCGAGAAGGTTTACGTGCAGGATCTGGTTCGTCGGGAAGCGCCCAGGCTAGAAGAGCTGATTCCTCAGAAGGCCATTTTCGCCATCTGCGGGGGCTCCACGAGGATGGCTGATGCGTGCAAACGCGCCGTCTTCGACCCATTTACCGAAAATGGGGACGAGGAGGCTCGCAAGGAGATGCTAGGAGCCATCACATGGTGGCAGGAAATCTGGTAAAGCTGGGCATGGTATTCTATTAGAGGCAAACATGATATTCATAGGTAGCGTGCGTTAGAAAGGGGTAGGAGTTGTATAATAGGCTACTACTACTAGTAACTTGGCTATCCGAGGTAGCAGCAAACAAGCTACGAATCTGATTGATATAAGTTTCCTCTGGCATTATTGTTTCTATCTAAGCGTGCGATAAGGGAGGCCAAGAGTCATATGAAGGTGTGTCGCCATCACAACTCGTAAAATGCCATCCCGAGCCATCTGCTCATACTACTATATAAGTATCCGTCATCTCGGATATTAAAGTTACAAATAGTCCTTTAAGTAAAAAGGAAAAGAAAAAACCATGCGGCAACAAAAAGGCGGTGCAAAGTGGTGATATAAGATCCTTCTTAAAAACTCCCATGGGGTCCATGTTTTGAATACTCGTTTCACCTGTGAAATGCATGCCATTGGCACATAGAATACACCGGTCCCATTCTTCCCAATAAAAACTCCATTGCTGGCCATGTAGCAAACGACAAAAGAGATTAAAAAAAATGATTGTGATGAAGATTGATAGAAGAGGGAGGTACAGGAAGGAAGGCGTCAAGATGTGAAGAATTGAGCATGTCTTCTTGGATGGGTGGAAGGCAAGTATTGGTGCGCCAGCGTTCAATCTTCCCAGCTATATCGCTTCGCTGCCATCTGTGGAACATGTATGAGGTCATTTCCATCTATTCGTTCCTCTCCCCGTGAGGAATGGGGTCTATTTGTCCCCGTATCGAAAGAGTGGTCTTTCCTGTGCTCTCTTGCGGGATCAACCGAGGACTCTTTCCCAGTCTTTGATCGGGCAAGGGAGAAGGTAGCTTGCCGCGTCATTTCACTCATGATTCGCTCCTCCTCATCGGTATAATTGCTCCCTAGACTCTGCTCGGAAAGATGGAATTCGGCCTTGAACCGAGGGGTAAAACTACTGATGCTGTCGCGGTTCTCTTGGCTCACGATATGTGCCAACATGATGCTGTGTCTGAGCGATTGGAGATTGCCTGGGAGGTTACCCAAACAGACGATATTTGTTGGGTCAATTGGAGTCTTTTGGCACGCCATTGAAGACGAACTGTGGTCCTGACCAGTCTCCAATTGCGTATTGTCCTCGTCATTCTGCACGTCCATATCTCTCGAGCCACCATCTGATAGTTGAGCCGCAGCAATTGGATGCGCCAAATTGTCTGAATGGCTATTATATCCCGACCCAGAAGAGACTGGTGAGGGTAGTGATGCTGGAAGCGAGCCAGTTCCCGATCCAGTTTTGATTGGCGAGACAGGAGTTGTTTCTACACTCCAGGTCGCATACGCCGAGCTGGTATTATGTGAAGCTGGCTTTTCTTGGGGCAGCACAATTCCTAGTTGTGGCGGCGAGTATTCGGGAACAGGCCCCTGAAGTTGTCGGTCAATCTTCCTCCTCGCTACTTCATATGCGCTGAGACTCCTTGTGGTGTCTGTGCCTGAAATAGTGTCGCAGATTATTGAACCGTCGTCTTCTCCATCACTAGCATCAAGTTCTACAGGAGCCATCGGGGCTGGAAGTTCGTAGATTTCTGAATCCGGAGCCTCCATACAATGAGAGAGAACAGCAGTGGTAGTGGAGTTGGTCATGTCGCTTTGCGCCCTTTTACGACGCGTAAATTTGTAAAACAGGGCAGGCTTCGGTATCCTTGGCGTGTCGGGAACTATCGTTGATGCGCTGTCTTTGGTTTCCTTGCTTGTTGCTTCTTCGCCCTTCTCCTGCGATTTTCTTCGGCGGCAGAGATAACATACACTGACAAGACAGAACAAGCATAGCATAATGACTCCAACGGCAATGCCAACCATTTGTCCCGTGCTTAGTCTGCTACCTGTCTGTTTCGGTGGTCCCGGATAAGGGCTATTATTTGATTGTTTGATTGGTATCAGATTTGCGTCAGCTATAGGTTCCCGAGGAAATTTGGCCTGATGAACCGAGAAAACGGCCTCGTCGTATTTTGTTATCAAATACGCTTCCTGCAAAAAAGATCGGCCGATGATGACTGCGGAATCATTTTCAGACCTCCGCAGCGCAAAATACGGAACAGCCGGATCTCCATATTTGATGGTCCGGTGCATAAAAGGGTATTGTAATAGGCTGACGAAGGCTCGCATTGGCACAGTGATGTTCACCAGGCCTGGAACATCCAGAGGAGATCCAAAATTGTCGTGGTTGTCAAAGCTCGAAAAGCTAAAGACAAAGTTGAAAGAATCGGACGAGCCATAGCTGTTGTACTGTTCATTCGTAAGGGTGTATAAATCAAATGTCTTGTTATACGTTAAGTTGAAGGCATTTGCAAACTCATCACAGACCGCAGTGGGTAGCCACAAGTATGGAGTAGTGCTATCAATCAGGGCCGTAAACGAGTCATTCCATCCAGAAAGGCTTGCTATTTCGGACGCCCACTTCTTGGGCTTAGCGGCGCTGTTATTCGCAGTTGCTTCTATGCCTCTAATTAAGGCTCGAGGCATGTTATCCTGCGGAGTCAAGGTGAAGTCGATGCTGTGTGGCACGTATCTAGCTGTGTCATAGCCGCCCAAGGTAATCGATACAGGCATATTCCCTATCCTTTCACGTTAGCGCTGAATGATCATGGAAAGAAACGAAGACATACGGTAGGAGGCACCCGCGGTATAGCCATAGCTATAACTGGGAATCCATCCAAAGGTGTGGACGGCTTGTGTTAAAGGTGATTGAGCAACTTCGTGACCAAAATTGCCTTGTGTGATGCCGAGGCCAAAGAAACCCAAATAATAGTCTGTGGTGTTGATGGCGGACATGAGGACGTTGGACATGCCGAATCCAATGTCGGTAATTGTGCTGTATGCGTTGACTGTGTCCAATCCATATTGGCCGTTTCCCCCGTAACCCAAGTAGTCCAAGCCAAGTTGCCAAATTCCCATAGACGACCAGTGTTTAGATGTAAACGGAGTGTAAATGCCACCGCGAGCAGCGGTGCAATGCGGTTCCTCTATGAGGCTCGAGTCAGTTCCTTGGTTGACGGAAGGACGTTGATGGCCTGATCCGGGGAGATGTCTTGCGACTAATGGAGGGACCCGATCAAGTCGAGATGGAGACGTACTTTTTAGACAGCCTCCGGGTCCAACGGCCCAAAATTCGGAAAGTGACGTGCTCAAGAGAACATTGACGAGATCCGAGTTTGAACCCAGTAAGACTTTGATGGTTGACCAGTTGCCATCAATTCCAAGCCTATTAATTTGAGGTCAGCCATAAGATGAAAAGCGTTGTACGCCGTAGATGCGGGTACTAGCAGAAGGCAAATAAGAAAATCAACAACGTACCACTCTCCGGCATCAAATGACACCGGGGCCGGGTCATTTGCATAGGCAAGGCCGGCTACTACTGCAATCGCTAGGACATCACGACGCATTTCTCTGATGGCGGCCTTGTGATGCCGCAAGCTTTCACCTTAGGAAGACCCCCCAGGTTGTAGAACTGACGGGGATGGAGGGCGTGATATCATGAGCGTCTTTCAACTTCTGTTTGGTACTCTTGACACTATCACAGCACTGCATCCATGGGTATAAATTCGTGGGGCTGTAGGGAATCTGCAGCTTCCGTTAATTGACGACGCCACAAAGCTCGTGAACCGGTAGGCAGATTCACGCTTCACGCGGCCAGGACACTTTGCTCTTGGTCACCATGAGGTTCCACGGGATTGCCTCTGTGGTGTATTGATGAAGAGAGTCGAAGGCGAGGGATAGAAATGCAAGGCTTGGGCTACCTGGCAGTGCCCTTCGAATGGATGGCTGGTGGTGTACCTCGTGCCAGGGGGGTGCTGCCAACAGTACCGAGTACTAGTTACATGAACACAGCACGGATGCTTCACACCGATCTGTCAAAAACTCTTTGGAAACTGGGGCGGCACCCTTGACAATTCGACCCAAAGGGATGGACATCTGCTCTGTACAAGATACATTCAGCCACTTACCCGATGAGGGTCTCTTCAGAACATTCCAGCCGTCAGTTTGGGACGAGCATGGGCTCTATCCCGAATGTCTGATACTGAAGCGCGCTTCGACCAGCCTAGCAACGCCAGTTTGGTCTAGCACCAGGTCCGTCGATGGCTCACGGAAGCGCTAATGCCAGTAGTAATATCTAGCCGTAATGGCTGCCCGCCAGAACGGGTGCAGGATGGGGAATGGTTTCAGTTGCCAATGCCTCATTGGGGAGACACTTTGGGGTGCTCCACGCTTTCTGAATGCGCCACCGGGTATGGTCCCTTGATACTCGTACGAGTACCTATATCATGTAGTGCTTAAGTCTCTCCAGAGCAGCTACAGAGAAGCATGTACTCGTACGAGTAACGCCGAGGTCGATGAGCATGCAATGCGAGACAGCACATCGCAATAACAACACTGGTTGAGACAGTCTTGGCTTGACCGCTTCTATTTCATCATCCTGGGCCTGAAATATGAAGATCAGGGAGCCATTGAGCTGCTCAGAGACCGTCCGTACCGGTAGTACATGTATCTTATTTCCGCATGTACGCTCAGCAATCAGCTCACTCGAGTACTCCGACACCAGTAGCAGCTTGTTCGCAAATTGTATCCAGAGTATGCCTGCAAGAGTGGAAAGACTGAGGAAGGCTGGGAGAGGCGGCGACATCTTCGGTGACAGAGCGGCACTGGGACTTTTCGGCCTAAAGTCATGCGGGTCAGACACTGATGGCGAGACAAGAGTGCGGTCTACATACTCGTACATACTTGCCTGTACTCGTACTTTGAGGTTTCGGACATGTACGGAATACGACACTAGGCCAGATGTGCGGTGTCCACATGCCTGGCCTGGATCCGCCCTGGACTCGGTGTGGCGGCCGTGGTGCCCTATTGCTGTAGTACAAATAAGAGAGCGCGGGCCTTGGCCAGCCGTTGGCCTTGTTGGAATGCCAATGTTCCTCAGTGGATTTCACGTCCAACGAGCGCACGACACCACCGGGGCCAGCGGCGATATCGTCAGACTGCAACAGCGAAGCAACACCGGTTGACCGGCTTGGCTTTGGAGATGAGCCGGGGTCCAACAGCACCAAGATCAACAGCTGGAGGGCCAGGGTCAGGACCCAAGATCAGCGGTATCTAGAGATGGGGTCCACTGGATGGCGAGAGCCGGGATCAACAACCAGGAGCCATCCGCGATCCCCACCATCCCACACGCTTCTCAAGAGCGGCCAGCATGTACAGTATGAGTACTCGTACCAATGTTAATCGTATCATGCGAGCCATTGCGAGTAGGTACTCTCGCCTCGAGTATCCCGGTATGCCGTAGCCATAGATGCTACCACCCCTTGGGAGAGTCGAGGTCCAAACGCCCACCAGCGCTCTGCGTACCGGCTCCCGTTCGCTAGACAGCTCGCCCTTGCGCCAAATATGTACATACAACAAGTAAAGTGCTGACCAGGGACGCGTGTGCCGGAGCTAAGGTCCCTGCCGCATGCGAGTTCCTTGTCTGCCGCTATGGAATACCCGCTGTGCTCGTATTAGTGATGCTGCCAGCGAGTATTGCTGTCTCTTCGAGTGACTTTACCACGGGAGATGCCTGGTAGACTCCAGCTGGCTGAGTACGTTGACATCTGTCAGCAATATCCGCAGTGTCTCAAAGGGTTGTAGTAAATGAGTATGACTTTAATTGTGATGTTGCTGGTCTAGGAAGATGAGTGGAGGAGAAATATCGAGGAGAGATGAATGCATTGGAAGTGACTTCATCAGTGCCTCCGCCGTAATTGAGAAGGCGCTACCCGCAAAGCCTAGAGCTACCCTAGATAATCTTGAAATCTAAAGAAAATCGGGAGCTGCCCTTTTCTCCTTCACCAAACTGCATTCAGCCCATCTAGAACTGCTCGCTACTACCCAAAAACCACAGCGTCTGTTTTCTGGAAAGGCGAGCGTCTTGTTTGTATTCGTTAGCTGGAGCTCACCACATGGCAGAACCATCAATACGAGTACCGCAGCCTCAATGTGGCTCCAGTTCCCGACCAACGCCATATTGCAGACAAAGTCATCAAATCGCGAGAATCATGAAGCGTTACCCAAACCCTGGTCGAATCGCAGCCGTTTCTATCTCACAATGATAGATCTCACGCGCTAGAAGAGCCATTCCAAAAATCCCATGTCCCTCCCTCGATTCAAAGCTCATCTCCGCAACGCTCAAGGCCGAGAAACCAAATCGTTCATGGACATGCCGAGTCGTGCCAAACACAGAGAGCTCCAAGTGCAAAAAGATGACTTGTCAATAGACTTGAGAGCCACGAAATATGGATGGCGTATCAGTGAAACAAGGACGGCCCCCCTGCAACGACACCAAGAACATGGCCTATCAATGGCATACTTCTAGATGCCAAGTTCTCCGCACTACTCCTTGCAGCTGCTAGTAGCAACAATAGTCTACTGAGCAAGGGATTTACGAGCGGTCTGGCGCGCACAAGTTGGGCACAACCCTTGTATTTTTTTTTTTTTTTTTTTGCGGTTTGTGAACGGCTGAGGCAAGGGAGCAATGTCTCAGACCATGGACAAAAAGCAAATGTCAGGTTTCCCCATCCGCCGACAAGCCCGCGATAATTTCTCTATCGGTCCACGCCCGTTAATTAAAGGAAACCATGCACGGTATCGAACGACTAGAAGATACTCCAACCCAGGGGGAGCGGGACTGCACGAATAAAGAGTGCTCAGTCAAAGCTGTGATAAAAAACTCTCACGATCCGCGTATTCGGTCATCGAATAAGAAACTCAGCCGTGGCTGAGACTCTGTCAGCTATTCAACGTGTACACCGGCTAGCCATCAAAGCAATCTCCTTTGCGGCACGCTCGTACGAGTACTCCAACGCCCGCCCTTTGCCCGGGCTTTAAAGGCGGCCATTTCTTGGACCAGTTTTGCGGCTACTGTATGCCCTTGATATTTGCGTCACACGCGGAATCCTCCTGCAGCTGGGTCATGGGTTATTATTCAGCCCATCTCCTGCAGGAAATTTTCTAACTGACAGCAGATTCAAATGAGACAATGAGGCCATCTTCTCCCTTCCCAAATTATTAACTCATATCCCTTCCCCAACGCCTCGCTCAAGACACACCCACGTTTATTGGTTGGATGGACGCGTCCGCCTATCCCGCTCCATCCACCGTCTCTGTGTTCCCATTCTCGAATCCTCAATTTCGGGTGACTGAACTCTGGCAGCGGAGTTGGTCCGATCCTTTGAACCCGGACGTACAAGTTGCCGTCATGTTCGTGGTCCAATTTACTCAAGATGGCAGGATACCGTTGCAGAATCACCAGTGCCAAAGCAACAACATCTGGAAATCCGTGCGACCACCCCAATAGCGCCACTGCTTGGGGCATTCCAGTGTCTCATGGTCGCGCCCAGAGCCACCGGTACCTCGTCTCCTTTTCCAGCGCTCGAGACGGGGTGTTGGTCCTAGCACAAGACTAACAACTGCTAGGGGATGCACGGAGTAGTTGAAGGCTGATTTACACCCGTCCTGTTGTCCACGGCAGACCGCAGCAGTTATGATATATGCCGTGTACCGTGTTATGTGCCCATGTGCAACACTAGTATACTCGTATACTCCGCACAGAGCTTCCCTTACCTAGCAAACCGAAGCCATTCATCGGGTTTTCTACTCGTCGCATTATACAATAGGGAGCCTACCTCCACAGCCGACCATTGTTGGTGCAAAGCTTCTGGAATTGCTTTGCATCCTTTCGTAGATTCTTCAAATTTCGGCATAGTGGATGATCAGTCTATAGCTCTTACATCACCACGGCCCAGTGGCGATATCACTCTGATGGCCAGCCGAATTGTCGTTCTAGTCAACCACCGACTTGAAGGATTCACGTCGTCAAAGGGGGCACGATGAAATGCACAAATATTTTATTACTCTTCTACACATCATTTCTAATAGAAGGTACTTCAGCAGCTGTACGATCAGGTTAGTCGAGGCTTTAGCTTACTTCATGTAGAAATCATGTCGCTAATCATTTCGTGCAGAGATTCTATATCACCTTCACCAGCGACGGGGGTTTCAATCCAACACCACCATTGAAATCGGCCCATATGGCTTGTCCACGGCAGGATCAACAGCATCAGGGGCGACTCTCTCAGAGTTAGCAGACCCAATTACGAAACACGACATCGAGACAGCTTCCGTGCCGATGTCAGATATTACTATAGGTAGCTCGCTGCCATCATCAGCATATTCTCCGTCGTCCTCTCTATGGCGTAATGTGCTCGCGACTGGCGCCGAAGCCGATGGCTTTGGAAGAATTACTTCGACCGAGTATGTACGAACAATGGAGAGTTCCAGTCGAATTTCGACATCGATAACGAGTTCTATTACTACTTTCGTCACGGCATGCGAAAATGACGATGCTTCACAATGCCCACCTACTGTGACAGCTACCAACAGAAAATCTACGTTTCCAACCTCTTCTCCATTTGATACCAGCACAACTTCAACAGAGCCATGTACTCCACTACCTAGTGGCAAGGCCGTTACGGAATATTCTATTGTTTATACTTCAACAGTTACATTTTACGGCAGCAGCACCGACTACACTCCCCCTTTTTCACCAATGACAACGCCAAATTATTGCTCTCCTGCGGGTGAAGCTCTGATAACCTTTTTCAGCACAACTCGTGTATCCAATTCGACCTCTACGCTAACTGTCCAGGCGCCCTCGCCCTCTTCTGTGTCTCACTCCTACGACCCCTTTATGCCTGACCTAATCCCAATTCCACTGCCCACATTTTCCATCGATCTTCCTGAAGTTATTACGCAAACGCCCGATGCCGCCGGAAAGGGTGGCGGCGGAGTCATCATCACAATGAGACCGTTTCTTTCATATAGTCGATTTGTCGTGACGTTTATCACGACTGACAAGAATCCATCCGTGGTGTTTTCACCTGAACCAACCCCTGATTTCAGCCAAACACTGGTTACTGGCAACATTGGAGATGGCCATCATAAGACCGTAGACGTCACAGATGGCCCTCGGAGCAACACTTTTAAGCTTGACACACCGGGAAGCGTGAAACAGCTCCCAGTGACTACCTTTCACCTTACTGCTGGGGGACAACAGGTCATCATCAACGACAGGACCGTGTCCAATCTGAAGCCTGATCAGACGACCACGGTCACGGTCCGAAACGAAGTGTTCACCATTTTCCCCACTGCAGTTGTGGGATTGGGCTCGACAATCATGAAACCTGCTCCTCAAGCAACACCTCCTCCTGCACCAGCCGCGACGAGTGGGACTTTGGGAGGTATTCCTGTAATAATCTCGGGGTCGCAAGTTGTTGTCGACGGCACCACCATGAGAATCCCACGGCAGGAAACCACCACAAGTATCAACGGTCAAAAAGTTGTTCTCGGGGCGGGAACTGTTGCCGTCGGTCGCGAAACCCTCATCTTGCCCTCGCCGCGGCCTACTCATGAGATTGTGACGGGAGGAGAAATGCTCACCGCCATTGGCACTTCTGTCGTCGTTCTACACTCCACGACCATCACATACGGCCTCGACATAGCTCCCAATCAAACAGTTATCAACGGAGAAACCGTCTCGATTGGTCCAAGAGGCGTCTCCATCCATGGCACAACCATAGGCGGGCCCTCCGCAAACGCCACGGCCACGGAATACGAAATCGTCGGGGGCATCACAGTTGGGAAAGTCCTTCCGTCTCTTGTCGTCGTCAACGGGGCGACTTATGCCATCAATGAAGACGGCGATCTGGACAACTTTGAGACCACTGTCATAAACAACCAGACTATCACTATTGGTCCCAGCGGCTTGGTCGTCTCGTCGCAGACGTTGACGTACCCTGGATCTTCTGTTACGGCGACTCTGTCCTCTGGAGAGTCGATGCCTGATTTTCCCATTGAGACGGGCGGTCATGGGGATCGTGAGGATGATGATGAGAGCGGCGCGTTTTCATGGCGTGGAGAGTTATCTATTGGTAATACCATTGGATTTTGTTTCGCGATAAGCGTCTGGATGCTCGCCTGAGAGATGTGATTGGACTCTCATTCTCTTGTATTTGTCCTATTTCTTCTTATTGCCGTTGACGCAAATCTGTATAATACACACAAAATGTACGGGAGTTCTTGTTAGATATTTCAACTATAATGTACAATATTACAATACGCACTAGGCACTCAGTTGCCTTGCATCACGAAGTATTAGACGAAGAGAGTTAGAAACGAATGACTGTATTAAAACACGCGGCGCACTAAATAGGACTTTCGAGTATCTGACCAAAATACTCTAAAACTATGAAACTTGGCAACTGGATTTGCCATGCCCATGTAGTAGAACGAAAAGGTTGCTGCGAATCTTCATCACAGCGATATGCCTCTGTCTATATCACCACCTCTGCACACTTTTCCCCTTCCCCTTCCCAACTCCATCACCAGGCAAGGATGGAAACTCATCATGCTGGATATCGAGCGCAAGGTCCGCATCTGATGGCTGCTGGGGCGGTGACGAATATCCTCCCTGATCCTGCATACTAAGACTCAAAGCCAAGGCCAAGTCCTCATCTTCGGTAGTAGTATATCGCGAAGGGCCGCCCACGGGCGTGTGACTTGCAGACGGCGACGCAGACTCGAATTGTTTCCCCTTCTTGCCGGCCTTGTGTTTGTACTTGACATTGACGGAAAAGTCGAAATCACCAGAGCTGTTACCTCGCGATGATTCCAGGGGAGATTGCGTCACGTCATTGTTCACCCCTTCCATCAAGGATAGTCGTATAGCTTGTTGAATCTGTTGTTCGTACTCATCTTCGGCCACACCACTGGTTTCCGAAGCAGACGGGCCGGCAACGCTCGGATCGGGAGTTAAAGTCGAGACAGTGTTCTCGCTGACGGAAGAAGCAGTGTCTAAACTGGCATCAGCTGCTGAATCGCTAGCCCGGCGTTGCTCCTCTACGTGGTACGCTTCTTCAGAGACCATCTGGGCATAAAGAAGCGCCTCCTCCTCGGTCAAGTCGCCCAGTGCGCCGAATCGCTTGAGACGACGGCTATGCTCGCGAGCCTGCTGCTCATTTTCCCGCCGCATTTCGGCTTCCTCGGAGGCAATGTAGCCTGATACTGCGTGACCTTGGCGGCGACTGGCGAGCCGAGCGTCCATATCAGTGTGTCGGACGCGACGTTTACGGCCGGCCGTATGGCCATTCGATCCGTAGGACCAGTATCGCAAGAACGCCCCAAAAGAGACCACTCCTTGAAGGGTTGTGGGATCAGGGTCAAGGTATATGGCTCTCACGGCTGCGTATGTATTCTCATGCAGCGCCGGATTCATAACCAGCATGTGACGAGGAACTCGGCCGTTTGATCTGGCATTGATGGTTCTAATGGGCTCTACTGTAGACGCCAAAGGATCCCAGGCTTGCACAAGGCCATCGCTGCCGCCATGAACGAGGTACAGTCCAGATGCTGCCACCGCAGATACCTCTGGGGACTCCGTTTGCAGGAGGCGTAGTGGCTGTGTCTCACGGGTCCTATCATCATCCCGGGCATTCCAAACAAGAACTGCGCCTGTGTTGGTTCCGATGATGATAAAGCGAGTTCTGCGCCCAGGGATTTCTCTTGCTCCGTGATCGGCCCAAGGACTCGTCGTAGATGACGCTTCATTTGCAGTGTGCAGAGGGTCTTCTCCTAGTGTGAATAGCGAGGAGAGCGAGTTATCCAAAGCGGCTGAGGTCACGATATCGTGGCTGTAGCCCTTGAGATCAAACACTTGTTTGGACCAATCATGAATAACTGACGAGGGCACAGGAGGCGATTTGGGAGTAGGTGGCGGAGACAACGGCGTGTGAGATTCGGAAATTGGGGAAATCCGGTTGGCGAACCCTCCAATGCTGCCAAAGAGCGACGTAGAAACTGGTGCAAGAGGTGTCGTTGACTCGCTAGGAGTGGCTTGCACAGGTATCAAGGAACGCGAGTAACGTTGCATACCAGCAGGACGGTTCTCGGCAAGACCGCAGTCAATCACAAAGATATTCTCTCCAGCGCCTTTACCATCATCGCTCGCGAAATCCACTTCTAGCTTCCGCTGCATATCCCATCCCTCGCAGACCTTTCGGAAGTGAGAGGGCCTGTAGCGCATAAACTTCTCTATTTCCCGGGCCTCCGCCACAAGCTGGCCCTGAGTGAGATGCATGTTGGCCGAGGGGGATCGGGGCGAATAACCCCCACGTGTTGCGTTCTTGTCCAGCTCGTCTTCTCGAGCCATTCTACGAGTTGCCTCGAGAAGGTGCCAGTATACTGTACGACCAGCATACCAGGCATTCCTGGTCATGTCTTCTCCAGTTGCTCGAACCGGTTTTCCAATTGGCACATCGCACAAGTAATAGACTTCGCCCAGCGCATTCAGTGCCACAGCCCAAACCCTGGAGGTCGACTTGCGCTTCTGGTTGAAATTGTCATCGACCTTGAGGGATATGATGGGAACACCGGGGCTGATGACCCATCGTGCTGTGACATCGCCGTTGGCATATCTCGGGCCGGTGGTATCCCAGCCGAGTGAGTAGGCAGTAATGATGCCGAGAGCGGAGCCTGTTAACATTCCGCACATTGACTGTGTTGTCGATGTAACGCTCGACGACTTGGCAATCCATACGCTGCAAATCGCGTCGGACATTTCGGGGATCTTTGGGATGTCCAGATGGGTATCCACGGCACTGATCTCTGCACCGATGTAGCGGCCACGCATTTCATTGACCCCTCGGAAGAAGGGCCGGCCACCGGGGAATCCTTCACCAGATATCATGCCGTAGGTGTAGCTCACATCCATGACGTTGGGACCACCGGCTGGGCCGTCTCCCAAGCCATACGGCACCAGATTAGGGGCAACCTCATCCAGTTGTGGGGTGGTGAACAGATCTTCAAGACCCCATTTTTCAATCTTGCCCGTGGTGGGATCACTGATGGTTGCTGCACCGAGATCTCCGGCTGCTTGCATAACCCGTGGTGGCTTCTTCCCATTCAAGAAGACTGCGTGGAGGTTAGTCACTTGCCAGGGCAGCTTCGAGTTGTAGGTCAGAACCGCGCTCGATTTCTTCCCAGCGCGGCCAAGCCGACCGGACAAGGTTCCTCCCGGAGGAGCCCCCGGTTTGCCACGGGCCAAGTTCCTCAGGTGGCGAGTCCTCAAGAGATACTCGCTTCTCCAGGTAGCCAGCGATGTGAGTCGAGGAAAGTATCGAGTGTCGAAGCGCACAACATCGGACGAGTTGGCAGCAGCAGCTTTGCCACTGCTTTCTAGGACGGTGTGTCCTGGGAAATAGCGCATAAACGCCATGCGCCAAGCATGATGAGTGGTGACCAGCGCCCAGAAGCGCTTCGACACCAGCGCCACCGAGGAGTGGCAGTCGGGCGGCAGATGCGAAAATATGTGCGTCAGGATCTCTGACAGAACACGTCAGCAAGATATTCACTGATAGGCACGCTGTATAACCGGGGAAAACTCACCATTGGGAAAGTTGTCGAGACGGATACCATCCGAGCGGGGTTCTGAGCGCTTTATAACCTGGAATCCAGGCCCTTGCCTCGCCGCTTGGGGGTTCAGAGCTTTCTCATACTCGGAGATTCGCTGTCCAGGCACAGAAGGGAGATCGTCGAGGCCCTTGTCGAGGCTCAATCGTCGTAGCTTCTCGTCCAGCTGGTCGGCGTCGACTCCGGCATCTTCGCCCGGGAGGAGCTGATGCTGATGCTGGTCCGGGCCGGGGCGAAGACGCCGTGAGCCGAGGCTGGAGCCTGAACGGCCTCGACCAAGGCCACTGGCATCGCGGGGAAGAGAGCCATGCTGGGAGAAGGAGAGGGCGTCGAGGTGGTTGTTGGTCAGAAGCGGTGCTGGAGTCTTGAGAGGCTCTTGGGTCATATAGCTGGGAGAAGAGGTCGGGAGGGAGTGAGAGTGATGACCGTGCAGCGAACGTTTGCACAGTCTGGCGCGTGCCGAATACGAACAGAGAGCGAGGAGAGCAGTGATGGCGCTTGTGGTTGGGCGGTTGAATGATGCTGCGAGAGGCGACTCGGAGGATCAAATTGAAGGTGCTGAGACAATATTTTCCTCGCCTACGCGTTGTCGCATCAGAAGTTCATTTGCTCATTGGCGCCGCTGTTTCGGTACTTGCATCGCTTTGCCGGCAATGAGCCGAAGTGACGACATACTTAGGCAGGTAGCGTCTAATGAGGCATGTCCAATACGATTCAATGTCAACATAGTAATTTAACAAGATGCCATATAAATTGAGAAGGTTGAATAAATGGGATGGGAGTTTCCCATTGTCCCATATCATAACAGTCTTGAGGTTCATCTCCAAAAGAAGACAAAAGGCCTAAAAGTCGCAGGTTCTTTACATGCCCATTCTTCGGCACCAGTTCATCCAATAACAAGACTACATCGAATCTAACTCTTTGTTCTAAAAAGACCATGAAGGATAACCAGCTCTTGTCCATACTAACACAAGAGTGCTACATTTATACCAACTCAGTCGTCATTCTGGTAGCCTACAAGTTATTAATTTTACAGCCTCCAACGCAATTCCGCATCCTGGCACCACCGTCTCTCTCAACGCCCGCTTGAATCCCATATGTAGTCGATTATCCCACCCATGAATAACCGTGATCTTATATTCTATTCGCCAGTATCGCCGGTCACACGTGGTGTCTCATACTCCATGCTGACTAGTCTGCCACACTTTTGCAATAGAATCATCATCAGCATCCAACCAAATGCAGAGTCCTCAACTTAGCCGGTCAGCATCCTGCATCGATTGAGCCCCATAGCACAGTACTATAACAACTGCATGAAACTTGGATATCTATATAGCTTAGCAAAGAAATTACAAATGTAAAAAGCATGATTTCCCACGGGTGATAAGCCCGAAACTGACAAAAGCCGTTCCCATCAAGTGGCTCAGCGACAGACTAGGCCGAGGAATCAAGTCTGAGTACAAGGAGGCTTGAGATTGTGACTCTCATTCTAATCCATCCTCTTATTTCTAAAGC